AATCGTCCCCGGGCAGGATCGAACTGCCGATCTCCCGATTGTGGTTGTTTAGTTGTATAAACTAACAGTCGGACGCCTTAACCAGCTGGGCCACGGAGACGGGTTCTGGCGTGACTATGCAGCGGAGCTAAAAAGAGGGAGTGCATCTTACGAAGCAGCTACCCAGGCAGATCAGACGTTGCAAGCTGCGGAAGAGCTTCGCAGAGAGAATAAAGCGTTGCGAGACCTGGTGGATTTCTGTGGTATAAACCCCAATTTGCTGGGGCATTACCCGGCTGAATATCAAGGAGCGAGTTTGAATGAGAGGCAGTCTGATCTTCTGGGGAATACGTGACCATTCACTGTTGAACCACCTCCCTCGACCTTTCCCTCAACATCGTTGCAGGTGTTAGATGTAAGAATTGTGCTCGGGGCCTTTCCCGGCAGCCATCACTGACTTGCTCTATGTAGGGGATATCTGAGCCTGTTGAACCACTAATGATAGTAGATGTTACAGATCTGACATATCCCACTCATTCAGCCTGAAGTTTCCACCCTCGTCATCGGCAGTCTTTACTGGCTTTATCAATAATCTGCCTGAACCGGAGTCAGAACCGCGTTTGAAGGGGTTTCCATCTCTGATTAACCAGAATATATCCGGTGGCATTAATATAGGAATGGCCGACGTGGTTTTTGGAGAGACCACACTTTGTGCTGTCGCCATCCAGATTGTCTGTCATTGTAACAAGAATGTAAATATATTAGGGTTGGATACTATGCTTCGCCAGGGGTATAAGAGCGGGTCTCTGGTGAAAGGCTGCAGGGTTGACAATGTGGTTCTGCTTTCTGTGCTGGCTGAAATTATATAATCCTTTCATCAGAACATATGTACGTTCGAAAGTGGTGACACATCATTTATTTCTTGCCAACGAATAGTGTATAAATGGTGACATACCGGATATACCCTGTCCAATCATATTGGAATACGCCTTGCAACCCCGCAGCCAGCAAAAGTCTAATATTATATCAGTTCACTGCGACACAAGACAGAAATACATAACATTGTATTGTTCATTGTCTTATTCTAAATAAACTGAATTCGCACCGGCAATTCTTCGAAGTAAATTCCACCAAAATGGCGGAAAATACATATAACCAGGTTCAGTGCTGCTATGGTGACATCGCAAAACGCACCTCTGCCACAAGCACCCAACACAATAGCGCCGACACAATCGCCACGGCCTTTGGGTACAGCGCGAAGGATCTCGGTTCACTCCCAGACAATACAAATTTAGGGCTAAGCTGCGGTAATCCAGTTGCATATGCGAATATGCAGGAGGTTAGTACCATGACGATGAACACCAATGCATTATTACGCGTGTCAAGGTCTAATCGGTCAATAGGGAGAAACAGTTGTCGACCTAGGCAGTGGAGGAGGAATTGATGTTTTCCTGGCTGCTCGCAAGGTTGGGCCTCAAGGAAAGGCTATTGGAGTCGATATGACCAAGGTAGATGTGAATCTTAATGTATGAGACTACCAACTGACTCGTCATAGCATATGATTGAACTGGCGAATAGGAATGCCAAATCAGCCGGCCTGTCCAATGTACAGTTCATCGAAGCGCTGATCACCTCCATCCCACTTCCAGACTCCAGCATCAACTGTATCATCAGCAACTGCGTGATCAATCTTGTTCCCAGCAAGGACAAGCCATCTGTATTTTATGAGATTGCTCGTTTGCTGAAGCCTGGTGGACGGGTTGCCATCAGTGATATTCTGGCGAGAAAGGAACTCCCGCAGAATATCGTTGACGATATGGCGCTCTACGTGGGCTGTATTGCGGGTGCTAGCCAGGTTGCGGATTATGAGGATTATCTCAGACAGGCTGGATTTCAAGGTACATACCTATTCTGTCTGTAGGATAAGGTCTACTAAGATACTGACTTGATTAGATGTATTGATTGTCGATGCCGAAACGGATCTCAATGTCTATAAACAGTCGTCGAACCTGTCAGGCTGTTGCTCTACAGATGAGTCTAAGAAATCCACAGTCGACTATGCTGCGATTGACTATAACGAGTGGGCTGGTGGGTTTACGGCTTCATGAATGATTGTTTGCTGAGATGTTAACTATCTGTCCAGGGTCTTTTCAAATTTATGCTGTCAAGGCTGGGAGTGTCTAAATTATAGCACATGGAGAGGAGAAGAACAGCCAATTAGAGTCAATTGACAGCTTAGTATTAAGCTACAGAGAGTATTAGAGGTCGGTCAAATGAATGACAATCTTCCATTCTGATGTCTGCTCGATGAATCTATTGCAACTTGTAGCTTAGCTTTCCATGTGTGGGTCCATCTCCACTGTGGAGCCATGGACGGCCTGTTTTCTACTCGAGCTGAACTTCAGCTGAAGAAGAACAAAAAAGAAAGAGAAAAAGAGTAATTGCAGCGCCTGGTGTTGACAGGGACCTCCAAGTTATTAGCTCGGCAGCCTACCGTTGCCCTGCGCTGCAGTAAATTACATAGTCTGTCTTTCTATTGCGGAATCTTATAAACTATGCTCATGTATACATACTCGCCCTGCCTACCAAACCAGCAGACCTACCATGAGTATAACGATTCTTGCATCGTAGCCGCTATTATTTTAATCCACGATTATTGAATACTTTTAGAGTGTCGCCATGGATGGATACTTTATCTAGTGGATTCCTGATTATCATGGCTTCAATCCCCGAGTTATAATGGCACAGCTTAGTCAGTGTTTATGCAAGCCATGTTAAATAGCCACTAGTGATGCATAGATCCAGCCATTCTATCAATCAAGCACAATGTAGCAATCAGATCAGATAAGATCAACCGACAGTATGTACCCCGATTGCATGCATGATTCGGCTGTCACCTCGGCATTTGAGTCGGGGTTTGGAGTTTTACGGCTATTTTTGTATGTTCACTGCCGAATAAACACTCTCAGTTGACATATCCAGCTGGCAGTGAATGTCTTCTAATAACTTCTTATTAAGGCAGGTTACCATTGGCTGCATGTTTTTCTGATGGTGAGAACGATGTGATCGCCTACATTTTAGGACTTATGATGCAGTGCACATTGTATTTTTTACTGCTTATCCTATATTGTGCATCCCCTGTATACACTTAATCAGATAACCTATCATTGTTAGTATATAGTACTTGATGCTACATGACTGTCCCTGTAAGGGAGCGGATATGTGTTTAACCGGCAACCCCAACAGCCCCAAATGCCTTATCTGATCAAGCTTTTCTACTCCACACGTTTCTCCTTTCTAAAACATTTCTGATTTCTTTTCTTTTCAATGGTTGATCATGGCTGAATCCAAAACCTCCAATGGCGAACAGACACAGCCTGACAATGACAGTCACAATGCCGACCAACTCAAGCATAAGCCATTGCAATATGCATCGATTGTCTTTTCCGGCTTCATGGTCATGTTTACCACCTGCGCTCTCATTTTCACCTTTGGAGTATGGCAATCCCTGTATGAAGAAATGGCCCAGCATGAAAACACTCCCTTTACTGGTTCTTCGACCGCGTTAATCAATCTCATTGGTACACTCGCCATCGCGCTCATGTCCATGGGTGGTCCCTTTACGATGGTCTGGGCGAAGCTGTTCTGTCCGCAGGTCGTCATCGTCGCTGGAGGCTGGGTGTTTGGCATTGCGTTTATCCTGGCGAGTTTTAGTAAGCAGCTCTGGCATTTTACCCTCACGCAGGGTGTGTTGCTTGGTATTGGGACGTGTATGGCGTATGTGCCCACGATGGCGGTTGCGCCGACTTGGTTCGATAAACGGCGTGGACTGGCCATGGGGGTGATTATCTCGGGGACTGGCGTGGGTGGGATGGTGTGGCCACCGGTGTTGCATGCGATCATCGACCATATCGGATTCCGTGATGCGTTGCGCATTGCAGGGTGCGTTTCCATCACGTTGGTATCGATTTCCGGATATACGTTGCGCTGGGAGCCGGATTTCCAGAAACAAGTCAGCGTGCAGACGCGGGGCATGAGCAAGACAACAGGATGGATGAAGATTCCGCTGATTGATTGGAAAGTCGCACGGACGAAACGATTCATCGCGCAGGCGTCGGGATGTTTTCTGCAGTCGGCTGGATACTCGACGCCGTTGTTCTTCTACGCTGCGTATGCGAGAACATTGGGATACTCCAACGCAACAGCAACCAACTTCATCACGGTCAGCAATGCGTCCAATTTCGTCTCGCGGATCGTGATCGGATATGGGGCTGATCGGTACGGGAGGATTAATGCGCTGGCATTCACGACATTTCTCAGTGCGATCGCCGTGTTTGCGTTCTGGTTGCCGTCGATGTTTTCCGGTTCGACCATCTCACATAGTAGTGCTGAAGGGCTGTTTATCACATTCACAGTTCTGTATGGTGCATTTGCGAGTGCGTACATCTCACTCTTTCCAGCTTCGTTGATTGAGTTGTTTGGTGTGAAGAACTTTACCAGCGTCAATGGGGCGTTGTATCTCATTCGGGGAATGGGAGCGTTGATCGGGACGCCGTTGACAGGGTTGTTGATTCCAGAGTCAGAGGCGTTGACTTCGTCTATTACGTATGAAAGAGCTGGAATTGTGGTTGGAGTGTTGCTATTTGCAGCTACTGTATCATGTGCATGGGTGCGGATAGAAGCGATGGCTGGATCACCGTGGAAGTTGAAAATGTAACTATTCAGATGCTCAATGACTGATCCATGGACGCTAAGCAGGGGTCAAAAGGGTCAAAACGAGAATTCTCGCTCGAGTTGCTGCATCTTTTTAACATCAATCATCAATCATCGCAAAATGCATCATCTGCCCGACGAAATCCTCTTGATCGCTGATCATATCGAGGATGAGGGAATTCCCGCTGATCAGCAAGATAAAGTAAACCTACTCCTGGTCTGCCAGCGCTGGCGATCTTTGTTTACAGCCCCTTTCTACAGCGACATCTCCATCGCAATCCATCGTTAGGCCCTTCCATTCGGAAATTCCATCTTTGCTGCTGGTCACGATTGAGGAATGACGCCAACGTATCCGACTGTTGCACTCCGGCCTTGCGAACCTCGTACACACCGTTAGCCACTGCCCTGAGGAAGCAACAGAATGGGAACGAGATATCAAAAGAAAAAACAGCGACGCATGGCTGGCTGTCCTGCTCGTCTTCCTGGAGAATGTCACTACCCTATACATGGACCATCCAGGAGACGCGATTCAATTCCCTCGACTTCTCGCCCGCGCCGCAGCCAGGGAAAAGCCATCTGATGAAAATCCCATCTTCCAAAATCTTGTCAGCGCCGAGATCGTCGGTGATAGTGATATTCCAAAAGTGGTCCTGAAACATGTCGAATCCGTCCCATTCTGCCATTTCCCGTCGCTGCGCTTTTTCCGGGGCGACTTGATGATGGACAGTGACTACACTTCCGGGCTTCTTCATCTAAGCCAGAGAGCCGTGGCTAATCGTCGATTGGGCAGCTCTCGTTTCGGCGCAAGTGTAGCTTGAGTAAAGGCATCGCAGCATTCATCACTTCCTGTGCGAATCTGAAATTTCTCGAGTACCAGCATTGGAACCTTGACTGGGTGGAGAATTCGATAGGATTTCGTCCCAGGGTGCTCTACAATGCGCTCATCACGCAGAAACATAGTCTGCAGGTGCTGGAATTGAATCATCAGGGGGATGTCTGTAGCAATGAGTTTGGGCACCCGCCAAAGTATAGTCGTTGAAGGAGTTTGTCAGTCTGAGAGAACTGCATATTTGACTGTATAATCTGTTAGATTTTGGATTCGAGAATTGCCATCCAGCTGTTTCTTTTGTTGATGTTCTCTGGAGTATCTCTGCGTGGCCAATTGCGAGGAATCACACTTTTCTGTGCTGGTCCATAACCTACAACATATACTGACTCACCAGAAGGAATTCCCCAAGCTGAAGAAAATCGATATTCAACCACATGCCGTGATGGCGATAGACCCATCCCAGTCAGGTCAAGTGTCTCCGCCATTCTATGGCGTTCTACCATCTACTCGTGCTATGTTCGCTTCTGCCCAGGCAGCTTTCAAGCAGGCAAGCCTCGAATTATCTTCTATAATGACCGGAGTGCATTCAGTCAGGAGATAGTCATCATCATCTAGGAATGATATCAAATAGATTATGATCGGACATCGGCTCTTGCATCCTAATTTGGTAACCCCATATGTCAGCGTGGGGCTGTGGGGCTACCCTTTTTACCCCGCAAATTGTCTTGTTTTTCTTCCTTTTCCGGAAAAATATTTACACGTCTGGGGAAGCTGAGATGAATCTATTGCTTGATCTCTGGTGTAATGAGGGGCTCAGTAGAATTCAGTGAAGATATAAAAGGATCATGTCTCCTATATGAATTGACCTCCTCAATCAAGGAAATGCGCCCCTTCAAGGCCATCGTGGCATTCTCTGCCATTGTCACAGCTTCACTGACCGATATCTGCACCGTCTCTTCTATCCAAAAAGCACTACCATCCAACATCCTCCCCGGCCTCACAATCGACCCTTCCTCCCTCACTACATCAGTTAACACCAACTCCACCGTCTCCTCAAATGACTACCCCACCGCCATAATCGACTACTGCGCCGTCACATTCGCCTACTCCCACGCCGGCCTCAACGACTCCGTCCTCGTCCAATACTGGCTTCCTGCGCCTGATGACTTTAAAAACCGCTATCTCTCCACTGGCGGGGGCGGGTATGCAATTAATTCAGGGAATAGGTCACTCCCCGCTGGCGTGCAGTATGGTGCTGTTTCAGGCATGACGGATGGTGGTTTTGGAAGTTTCGATACACAATTCGATGCTGTCTCATTACTGGCTAATGGAACGCTGAACTGGCCGGCTGTTTATATGTTTGGGTATCAGGCTCATCATGAACTTACCCTGATCGGGAAGACATTCGCCCGGAATGTCTACGACATGGAGGATAACACGAAGCTGTATGCGTATTATCAAGGCTGTTCAGAAGGCGGTCGTGAAGGATGGAGTCAATTACAGCGGTATCCGGAAGAATGGGACGGTGCTATCACTGGTGCTCCAGCGTTTAGATTCTCGCATCAGCAGGTGCAGCATCTTTATTCGAATGTGGTGGAGAAGACGGTGGATTATTATCCGTCGCCGTGTGAGTTTGAGAAGATTGTGAATGAGACTATCGCGGCGTGTGATGCTCTCGATGGGAGGATAGATGGGGTTGTTGCGCGTACGGATCTGTGCAAGTTGCATTTCGACAGTTCGTCTATTGTTGGGAAGAATTATTCTTGTCCTGTGTCTACTTCGAGTTTGAAGAGACAGATGAGTGTTTCAATGCCTGCTCAGAGCGGAACCGTCTCTGCCAAAGCAGTCGAGGTTGCTCAGACCATCATCGACGGACTGAAAGATTCGCAGGGTCGACAGGCATACTTTTCCTACCAACCAGCTGCATCATTCGAAGACGGCCAGACTGCATACAACACCGAGACAGAACAATGGGAACTCAGCATCAGCAGCTTTGGCTCTGAATTCGTGCAACGCTTCCTCAACCTCGTCAATTCATCTTCCCTGCCCACACTCGACAACGTCACTTACGATACCCTCCGCGACTGGATGTACACTGGATGGCAGAAATATGAAGACAGCCTGCAAACGACAAGGCCGGATTTGTCAACTCTCCAAGCAGCAGGTGTGAAGGTGTTGCATTACCACGGTGAATCGGATAATAGCATCCCCACTGCGTCGTCTGTGCATTACCATGAATCCGTGCGGAGGATCATGTATCCCCATCTTTCGTTTAATGAGAGCTCTGGTGCAATGGGGGATTGGTATCGTCTGTTTCTTGTCCCTGGGGGTGCACATTGTTCGCCTAACACGGCGGAACCGAATGGGCCGTGGCCGCAGACGAACCTGGGTGTGATGATTGACTGGGTGGAGAATGGAGTGAAGCCGGTGACGTTAAATGGAACGGTGTTGGATGGGGAGATGAAAGGGGCGAATCAGCAGATTTGCGCATGGCCATTACGGCCGATTTGGGAGAATGGGAAGATGGAGTGTGTATCATCAGCCTTCGATCGATTCATGGCTGTATTCGTTGGATTCGTTCAATATGCCTGTCTACTAGCTATACAATCAATGCTTCTTCTTCTTCTGCCGTTCAGCCTTGTCCATGCTCACTTCCGCTCGTCTCGCTGCCTCTTGTGCATTCTCACTCAATCCCTCGGCCACTCTCATCTCCCCGAATCGCGTCTTCCAAAAGGTCCATCTTTCCAAGCTAAGCCCCTTCTCGCCATGCCAGAGTTGGCTCTCATCGCCCCAAGTTGTGGTGTATCTACTTCCTGCTTTATTCCACAATTCATTCTCCAACATGTCTTTCGCCGCGTGGATAAAGTACTGCGCGGCAGCGGTGATATCGCCGTCTTGTCTGGCGGTCGGTTTGGTCAGGTCGACTTTCTTCTCTAGTGCGTCGACGACCAGACGTAGAGCCCAGTACTGCGTTTTGAGAACAGAGACGGAGAGAAGACGCGCGGTGAAAGCGTTGTAATTCACCCATTGGGCACTGGTGGGATCGGTAAGGTTTCCTATCTCGCTGTGGTCGGATGCGAGGTCTTTCAAATCAGCTTCATCTTGCAAACTGGTGGAGGTTCATACAATCATATGTCGCCCGCCAACTCTCCGGAAGATACGTCTTTTTTTCCTCTGCCCAGTCAATGTCGCCCGGTTCTGCGGTGAAGAATTCCTGGACCAGAGCGACTAGATCATCGTGTGCTTCTTCGTAGTCCTTTGCGAGAAAAAGTATCATCGTCCACAGTCGGCCGGTGAATGATGAGTTCCATTGTGGCGGGGCGGGAGCTGTCAGCTGCTCTGCCGCTTCGGCGGGGGAAAGATTGGCGTCGAGATAGGATCGAAAGATGGTGAGTTCGCGGGGATTGCAGTCGAAGACTTTGCCTGTGGAGACGGCAGAAAACCATTCTTCGTATTGAGACATGATGGAGTTGGTTGAGATGGGGGAGAGGAGAGAGAATAAACAAAGACGATTTAATGCGATGACAGACGCGCGCGGCACATGACGCACTAAAATCTGACTGCGAGTCAGCGGCGATCTTCAGGCCTCCTGCTTATGCCAGCTTATGTTAATGCCGACTGTGGATATGACTTCATCTGTGCCCGAAGAGGAAACTGGTCGGCCTGGGCGGGGGCCATTTTCCGTAATACTTGTTTCACCACTGTCGCTTATGTGTACTCAGCTGTCACAGCCTCGCCTGACTGTGACATGGCTGTGTTTTTTAAAGAAACAAAAAGTACCATATGTCGATTATAAAGGCAGACATGATGCCAGTAGAATTCCAAACAACAACAGCAATTCACTCAGCAATCTTCTATACAATCCCCATCAATCAACATGAAGTTCCTTGCTCTCCTCGTCAGCGCAATGGCTGTCTCTGCCTCTGTCGTCCCTCTGGACACCAGAGCCAAGACCAAAATCTCCTATCTCCCCAAGAAGTCCATCAACTGCGGTGGTATGTTTCGGTCTATACACTCCAACGAACCTCACTTACACTCATCAACAGGCAAGGATGCCAGAGCCAGCACGTACAAACCCAGCACCATCAAGTCGGCCGCGGAAGCAGCCTTCTCGAACGTCCTCGCCAAAAAGAAAGTCGGTATGTTTTCATCTATCTATGACTTCGTCTACACCGGTATACTAATTAATAGGCGACAACAACTACCCCCACAGTTACGGCATGAACGATGACGGCGTCAAGTTCACCAGCTCGGTTTGCAAAAAGGGCGACGACCTCTACGAGTTCCCCATCAAGACGCACGGCAAGTTCACCAGTGGCAGTGTTAAAGACCTGCCCGACCGGGTGGTTATCAAGAAGAAGTCCAAGAAGGAGGCGTACTACTGTGGTTTGATCACGCATATTGTATGTCCCCTCGGAGATGATGATGATGATGATGCTGACTGCTTCTAGAATGCTCACGGTGATGCCAATGCTCCATTTACCAGCTGCTCTGGTTAGTGTATAGTATTTGACTTAGCGGGTAGGATAGGAGTTGATTGATTATTTACGGTTTTACACTTATTTCCATCAGTAAGAGTAGTGAGAACAGCGTATCAGCATCATGCATAGATATCTGGAACCCTCGCAGCAAGGGATAACGTAGTCCATAATCTTGAATAAGACATTAATTAAACACCTCGCAATGGAGTGCTTATCAAAATATGTCATTCAAATGCTCTTGATTTAACAGCACGGGATGTCAAATAATACCACAAGCACTATTATTAGCCAGATGCCGCTGTCGGAGCGCACGTGTTGTCCAACACGGACGGTATTTGCTCGATGAAAGCTTGTTTAATTGCTTAATTTTATTAAGCTTTCTAGATAGTATAAATATACAGCATGTATCGCTTTGTCTAATACTCAATCACAATGAAGCTCACCGACTTTCTCCTCGCCAGCATTGCCTGTGCGTCTGTCTCTGCATCGCCATGCAGCAATGCATCTCCAATGCAGGTCCATCTGGCTTATGCAGGATCAACCGGCATGACTGTCAGCTGGAATACATACTCCAAGCTGCAGCATCCCCTCGTTCGGTTTGGTAATCATCCAGATGCTCTCGTCCATGAGGCTTCTTCTGATGTGTCCGTGACTTATCCCACCTCCACTACCTACAATAATCACGTTAAAATCACCGGTCTCAAGCCTGATACGCTGTACTATTACCAGCCACAATGTGGAAACGCCAGCCAGATCTACACGATGAAGACTGCCCGTGAGGCTGGTGACAAGACCCCCTTCACCGTTGCTGTCGGTGGTGACATGGGCTTGATGGGCCGTGATGGATTGACCACATCGACTGGGCCAAACGGAGGCAAGGCCCCGTTGGCACCTGGCGATAATAACACCATTCAGTCGTTGCAATCGATGAAGGCGCAATGGGACTTTTTTTGGCATCGTAAGTATCTCTTCTGTCTGTTTGTTCAATGCTAATTAGATAGCTGGTGACATTGCCTATGCCGACTACTGGCTCAAGGAAGAAGCACAGGACTTTTTGCCTTCGAATTACACGGTCGCTGATGGTCAGAGGCTGTATGAAACATTCTTGAATGAGTATTTTGATGAAATGACTGCTTTGACCGTTGATCGTCCGTATATGGTTGGACCGGGCAATCACGACTCCAACTGTAAGTTACATCTCACCATGATACAATTCTAGAGTCGCTGACAATGGTATAGGCGACAATGGAGGCACAACCGACCACGGCGTCTCGTACAACATCAGCATCTGCCCGATCGGCCAGACCAACTTCACCGGTTTTCAGAACCACTATCGCATGCCCAGCAATGAATCTGGTGGTGTTGGCAACTTCTGGTACTCGTTCGACCACGGCATGGTCCATTTCATCCAGCTCAACACCGAGACAGACCTTGGTAATGGCTTCACTGGCCCTGATGAGCCAGGTCAATCTGAGGGCATGAACTCTGGACCATTCGGATCGTATCCGAATCAGCAGCTGGACTGGTTGAAGAAGGATCTACAAAGTGTGGATCGTACCAAGACTCCTTGGGTTATCGCTGGTATGTTTTCTCTACTTCCTCTGTCTAAATGATAACTGACCCATAAGCCGTCCATCGTCCCTGGTACGTGAGTGCCAAAAACATCAGCTCCACGATCTGCACCGCCTGCAAAGACGTCTTCGAACCACTCCTCGTCGAACACAGCGTCGACCTCGTCATCCAAGCCCACACCCACTACTACGAGCGCAACCAGCCCTTGAACAACACCGTCATCGACCCAGCTGGACTGAATAACCCCAAGTCTCCATGGTACATCACGACTGCTGCTGCGGGGCACTACGATGGGCTGGATAGTCTGGTCTACCCCCTTCAGCCGTATGTAGCGTATGCCCAGGATACGGCGTATGGATGGAGTAAAATCAGCTTTCATAATTGCTCGCATATGACACATGAGTTTGTGGCGAGTCGGAATAATACAGTGCTGGATACGGCGACGCTGTTCAAGGATCGGGTTTGTTGATCGATTATTTGAAGATCTGATGGCTATAGTTATCGCTGGAATGTACCTACCCGATAGTGAGTAAATATGTTGAATGCAATGGTGAATATCACCTGCCATATTGGCTGCTCCTCCTGTGAATGGACATCCCGCCTTATATCTTCTCCTCTTCCCCTTCGTTTTCTCTTCTTCTTCTTCAACAACATTCATCTGTCCCAGTGGACAGATTCATCAAAATATCTTTCCTCCTTTGAGGCTCTCCCCTCGCTCAGAATGGTTCGAAAAGGGGCAAGACTGCCGCTGAGGTAAATACATCCAGTCATACCAATGATAATTCTTGCGCGGTGCTCATGGATGGTATACTAACAAATGAACGTCGACATAGTAACATCGAATGCACCTTTCCAAGTCGGAACCAAACAAGACGCGAAAGACAAGATGATGCACTCAAACGCTTCGCTTCGAAGTTCAGGCCAGATGTTATTTTGGCAACGATTCTGGTCTCTCAATCTTAGAAAGACTGGAAGCTGTCGAACAACGCTTACGGGAAAGTATCGGCAAACAACTGGACCAGATCGAATTCCCGAAGAACTCGAGTGACAACTACTTTTGGGTCCGATCACGAACGATCGAGACCTACCGAAGAGATATGTTTCGTGTTTCTGCCTCGACACGGCAGATCAGAAGTGTCAACCGCGTCGTCCATGGCGGAGATCTGGCCGCTGACACACACTTGTACACGGAGGGACTGCGTTCTGACAATGAATTTTCGGTTTCTTTGTGTGATTGAATAGATGGTTCTCAAGTTTTGGCAACGATAAAGTTGGAGGAGTCATTCTCTGCTCATCTGGAAACTAAGATATGCTTTTCACCGATGGTGCAGAGCTATATGTCTTCTAGGTATCCTTCACCGGTGTATATATAAATGCTGTATCTAGGTTACTCTTGCAGTCATCAATCTACTATGATTAAAACCTCATCCGCTATCCAACTATTACTTAGAATGGTTTCTCATTAACGAACACTTACGTAGGGTTCTGTAAATGGACATCCCGTGACTCAACCTGATAACTTTTTCTCTTCGCTTCCTCTCTTTCCTTCTCCCAACTTCAACTCCAACTTCATCCATCCTTCCATCATTCAGAATCAGGTGAGTATCGAAGGAGATGATATTCATACGGGACATACTAAAACCCTTATAACAGACACCACCTTTCTCACAGACGAATGAAAAAAGACGCGAAAGACAAGACAATAGTGCCCTTAAACGCTGCGCCTCAAGATGTCGGCCAGAGGCGTCGCTCGAATGGGTCCAGTCGGTCAATTCTGGACGATTTGAAACAAAATATGCGGCAACTACATTATCTGCGGATGGAAATGGAATGTTTCAAACAATGTAGCGACAGCTACCGGCTAGCTCGGTTACGAATGATCGAAACCTATCGAAGAGGCATTGACAGTTCTGCCAACGGGCTGAATTCGAGAGCCAACCGAGCTGACCGTGGAGATCTCACTGCCGATACACGCCTTTATGTCGAGGGAATCCGTTCGGATGAGGATACCTTTCAGTCTCTTTACGTGCTCGATCTGGAAGCTGCTTCTCGCGTTGGTGAGTATCAAGGGGAGTTCAACTTGGTCTAACGGTGCTGACCATCATTAGCCCAAGCAGAAAACTGGGATCCCATCGATCTCTTTAATGGTTTCGCGACCATGAAGCTGGAGCATGAAGCCATCGATCTGGACCTACAGCACGGATTCGACACCCTCGACGAACAACTGAAAAACTTGGAAAGCATCGCCAGTTCATTAGCTAACTGCACAGAGCCGGTAAATGCCACCTACGCAGCGCTACAAGCCCGACTATGTACTAGACATTCGTTCCAGTCAAAGGATGCCTCATGCGACGACTGTTATCGAGTATGACAACTTTTGATCCACCTCCCATCCCAGCTCTAGGCAAATGCTCTCGATGTGTCAGGTCTCCAATCTTCACCACACATTGCTTCCTCCTCCATGTGAATCGAGTATATGCCCCCTTCTCCACCATCAACGGAATCAACGGTAGTCCCCGTCTTGCAGCCAGAATCACCGGCGGTGCCAACTCCTTGTTTCCCGCTGGGGCTCGAGTGGCATTCACGTCTGCTCCGTATTCGATTAGTAACTTTGCTATCTCTCCATCGCCTCTATACAAAGTTCTTTGCAGTGCTGTTACGCCGACACCAGGGAAGCTTTGGTTCGGATCGACGCCGTTTTCCAGTAGTAGCTTTACTACTGCAAATCTGGGATCTGGCTCGCTGTCATAAATAGCACTGAATAGAAGGCCTTTGAAGCTGCTTTCTGTTCGCATGTCCAGGTCGAATTCTCCGAGGTTGAAAATATGCTGGATGGTTGAAAGCTGACCAGATTTGATTGCTGCGATGAGTGCTTCATATCGCAGTATAGAGGTATCTCTGTTGTATCGTTCTCCAAGAAAGTCCAACATCTCAATATCGCCAATTCTCGCCATTGTTTTGGCTGCTTTGATCATTGCAGTCGACACACTGCAGTAAGTCCCTGGCGGTTTACAATGTTCAATATAACTCTCCAGCGCATCGAAATTCCTATTCCTTGCCGCTAGGGTAAACGCGCATTTCGAATGCCAGTCACCCATGTCGTACTCGATCGGTTTGCCCTTCTTGATCAACATGGCGATGATCTCCCGTCCTCCCCATTTGGCTGCGAAGTCTATCGGCATTGCTCCGAATCGATAGCAGAATTCGTCCATTCCAACCTTTTCGTTGAGTAGCTTCTGTGCAGTGACTGTGTCGTTTCGTCTGATTGCGCTGCAAAGGAGCGCAACCCGGACGTCTGCTGCGATGGGTGGCAGTCTCCGTGCCATGTAGTAGGTGTATAGATGTGTCTCATACCACTTCTTCCATTGATCGCGCTTGTCGGTGCAGAATACGAGGTTGAATTGGTAATGGCTCCACCATGTTGCGTCGATCATTTGGCTGATAAACTCTTCGCGCTTGTTGGGCGACAGTTGGCCCTGTGAGTCGAGGGCTTCATGTACGAATTCCGAATATACACACGGACTGTATGTATGTTGCTGGATCTTGTGATATAGATATTGCCTTTTCAGTCGGTCGGGAAATGTGGTCCATCTGCGGACGGCTTCATCTCTGCCAAGTCGAGTGCAGCTCCATGCTTCATCGTCTAGGCGGGGGGTACTGAGGAGGAGAGTGAAGATTTCATCGGAAAAGGTTGCTAGATTGTCAGTTTTATTTCTATAAATGAGGATACACGTACTACAGATGAGCCTTGTCTGGAATAAATCAGACAGAGGGAGGATTTCCACTGCGCATTCGAGGATTTGCTGGACGAGTTCCCATGGGAGGCGCATCTTGGTAGATGGAGAATTATCTGAACAGGAAGTTCTTGACATTCATATTCTCATGACTCGATATATAATAACCTCTATTCCTTATTATAGTATCAGATTAAAATAATATTGTGAGTCACGATATCAGTGGCTCAGCTGGCACAGCCTCTTCTTTCCTTCATCGACTTCAAACTACTTCATCTCCACATCTCACATCTAAAATGGTATAAATATCAGCAGATTGCTTCTCGGGCAAACTAGATGAATTAAGGCGATCAACAAGGATTCAAATATCCACTTCATCGGAGGCGATGTCTCGTTGCGCGAATAGATCGGACCTGTGGAGAGGTGATGCGGAAAGAAGAGCAGCTGGATTTTTGCCATGTGGAGAGCCAGAATGCCAGTATTATTTATTCTGATTAGGTCAGATGCTTATGATGTCGATACGATAGAAGGTCTGCATAAATGCTTCTCGTTGTTGTATTATTTCCGCATGTGGTTTAGTACTCTCAACCTCCTTCCGTTTTTGGAAAAAGTTGCGAAAGACCATCGACCTCGTATATCCAGCGTCTTGGGAGGGGGAAACCAAAAACGTCTATTCAGATATGATCTCACTCTCAGAAACAACTTTGACTCTCTACGCGATAGACCAGACAATCAGAATACTTTTTGCCTTCCAGCATCTGTTAACTATTCATCCCTGTCGTCTTCATCCACGAAATACCAAGTATGGTGCGAATAGTATTGTCGAAAAGTATTTCAATACAACAGTATCAAACGAGTCGAATATTTTCGTCTTTTACTTCAAAGTCATCCTGGCATTCTTTTCTAGTTTTTTTCTGCTACCTATAGCGTATCACTACTCTAGGTCTATTGAAATATCCAGAGAGGCATTTATTCTGCGCTATGTAGAAGCTATTCCAAGGCATGCATCGCTTAAGCAGCACAGACGAAAAAGGAAAGGCGAGTCGATTTCTGAAACAGCTTGGCGAGGATATGCCAGAGATGATCTGGAAACAGACGCTGACATATTCAACGGCGTTTGATGGTGGGCGAGATTAGGATCTGTGCGGCCGATCAGCAGCAGACGATAATTTATATCGTCATTTTCAAGCTGACTTTTTTCCATTTTGGGTTACCGAGGTAGCCGGCGATCGACATCTTGTTCAGAATGTATGCCAGGATTTGATAGTCTCAGAGACAGTGTAATGGTCAATATGCAGTATTATCACGCAATAAAGTATTGACTTGTAATTGTGCTTGGATCAATTCTTCTGACAGATAAACTAAGATTCGGGAATTTGAATAACGTCGTCTAGAGATGAGTGACTAGTGAGATAAGAAATATAATAGCCGAGATATAACAGGGAATGTGAATTAGTCTGATTATTGGAAGAACGATCAAAATTGGGTGCACTGAGACTGTCGATCCACCGAGAATTAATAAGACTAATTAGATAGTAGATATTAAGACAGATATCAGATAAATAGATAATACTAAGAATGATCGAGAAGATAATTGAGAATAAATAAGATGCAGATAGTGAAACACGACTGATATTTGGGTTCCTCAATATTGGGTTATGCATCTATCTTAGCAGCATTTACTACATTCAACACATTTAATCATTTAATCTATTTACTATAATTATCCCATTAATTCTGACAGACGCAACGCTCCCTCTTCCTCGGTTCCCATCCACGGTGACGTCGAGATAGATCCCCTGAACCTGAAAACCGGGGATCAAAAAAGGGCTTTTGTGGGGATTTGGCCTCATCGCCATCGGCTCCACCATCGACTATCCAGCGAATATCATCACATCCTGCTTACGATTGGCGTCAAACCCGCTGGCCAACGTGCCGATCACCTCCCAAAATTGCGACGCCCGCCCCTCTTTTCCCCAACATGGCCCAACGAGTCTCCGAGGCACATCGTGAACGATGCGGGGATGGTCACTTTCATATGCGACGATCGGCAAGAGGGGGAAATAGTGAGGGCTGATACTACCAGGGGATTATTAGCAAAAAAACAGGCATATAAAAAGGTCGTTCTACTCGTTGTTTTGAACGCCATTGTTTCACATCGATTTCCTATACTCAATCATAACACACAATGCCTTCAGTTCCGAACGGTTTCCTGGGGAATCTCTCCGCCGACCAGGAGGCCAAATTGCAACAACTCTGGACCATCGTCCTCAAGGCTGTTGATGCCTCGTCCGACAGCAATGGCGATGCTCCGGCCTCGCCTGAAAAGCCCAAACACACCCGCACCGAAAGCAACCTCTCCGTCAAGTCGAATGGCACGGCCATCTCCACCGTCGCTGCCGGCCCTATCACCGACGCCCTCAAGGGCATGGGCATGAACGCCACGGACATCAAAGCCGTGCAGCAGTCGCTGTCGGAAATGACGCCCGAAGAACTGCGCGTCGGCCTGCTGGATACCGTCAAGCACGAAAACCCCGACGCCCTGCTGCTGCGGTTCCTGCGTGCCCGGAAGTGGGATGTCGCCAAGGCGCTCGGCATGATGATGTCCTCAATTGTCTGGCGCATCAAGGAGATGCATGTCGACGATGAGGTTCTTGGTAAAGGTGAACTGCATGCTCTGCGACAGTCGCGGGATAAGTCCAACCCGGCCAAGAGTAAAGACGGTGAGGCGTTTTTGGCCCAGATGCGCATGGGCAAGAGTTACACCCACGGCGTGGACAAGACGGGCAGGCCCATCTGTGTTATTCGCGTCCAGCTGCACAAGCCCGGTGAGCAGAGCGAGGAGGTGCTCAATCAGTATATCGTGCATGTTATCGAGTCCGTTCGACTGATGCTGGTTCCACCAGTCGAGACTGCTGTATGTTCCTTCTGATTCTGATATATGTGATTATACTGACAGATCAGTGCGTCGTGTTCGACATGACTGGCTTCTCTCTCTCCAACATGGAATACCCCCCCGTCAAGTTCATCATCAAGTGCTTCGAAGCCAACTACCCCGAATCGCTGGGTGTCTTGCTCATCCACAACGCTCCTTGGATCTTCTCCGGTAAGTCTTTCTCTCCATATCAATCTAGATCTAGCACATACTAACTTAATCAGGCATCTGGAGACTCATTAAAGGCTGGATGGACCCCAACATCGTCTCCAAAATCCACTTCACCAAGAACATCAAAGACCTCGAGGGCTTCATCTCCCGCGACCAAATCGTCAAGCAGCTCGGCGGCAAGGAAGACTGGGAATACGAATACACCGAGCCCGACGACAACGAGAACAGCAAGATGGAAGACACAGCCACCCGCGACGCCATCAGCGCCGAGCGACAGAAGATCGGCGAGGAGCTGCTGCGCACGACAGGCTCGTGGATTGCTGCTATCAACAGCAAGGAGAAGGACAGTGCGGCTGAATACAAGAAACAGCGTGATGAAGTCATCGAGCAACTGCGGAACAACTACTGGGCATTGGATCCGTATGTTCGGGCTAGAAACTGCTTGGACCGTACTCGCGTCATCCAGGATGGAGGCAAGATCTGCTACTATCCCAGTGCCGAGTCGGAGGTGGCAGTAGAGACCAAGGCGTTGGAGGTGGAGCATATGGAGAGCAGACAGGCGAATGTGGTTAGCTGATATGATGACGATGTATGATATTAGTTAGATATTAGTTACTTTCTTCTTCTCAATTTGAATACCCTTTTTTTCTTCTATATCTCTGTCTTGGCCAGTTCCAATACGCCCAGTTCTGCAGCGTCGTTCTCGATCAAACTCGCGTGTTTCTCACTTCGCACCGTCACCTTTACTGGAAAGGGTTCGTCAGTTCGATGGTGGTTCAGCTTCATCGAGTCGTATTCTCCAGTTCCTTCATAGTCGAAGCAATACACCAACCGGGCCATATTGATGAACAATCCCCGTTGTGCCAGTCGATATCCAACACAGATCCGACGTCCTCCTCCAAACTGCCACAATCCATGCGCAGCATCGGCTTCGTGTCCATCTAACCATCTCTCAGGCTTGAACTCCTCTGGATCCTCGCACTCATTGCAAACGGGGATCTCGTTAATCACAAACCCTGTCCCGGTCGGGAAACTGTATCCCTCAAACTCCATATCCGTCGTCAAGGTGTGGTCTGGAGTCAACCGAAAGATAGGCCTCCATCGCAGCAACTCCTTGATCATCGCGCAGATATATGGCAGTTCCTCCATATCGTTCAGTCCTGGTAATCTCATCGCATCTCCGCACACTCGGTCCACGTCCTCGCGAGCCCGTCGAAACACATCCGGATAACACAACGCCGCCATGGCGAAGATATTCAACGCCTCCCGCGTCGTATCACTCCCCGCTTCAATCAACTGCATCGCCACATACATCGCCTCCTGGTCATCCCCCTTGAACCTCGTATCCTTATGAAGCAGCGTATCCCGCACAAACGACGGCGGCGCAGTCCCAGCCTCAATCTTCTCCCTAACAGGCACCCACCACGACCGATAGACCTCGTAATTCCACTCCCCTAGCCTCTCCCAATACCCCCTCCAAACCTGCATCCACCGCGGCAATCCATCCAATTCCGGGAACCAGTCGACCAAACTCGTCCCGATACTCCCAACAAACCGCGTCACAACGTCTTGCAGCTCGGCCAGTTCTTCACCAGACTTGACCAGCCTCTCCCCCAGCGCAATCCGATGCACCACCGAATTCGCATACCGGTAGTGATGCCGATACCACCGTCTCGGCTGATACAACATCTCAGCCAGTAACTGACTACTCTCCATCTCCTGCCAAGAACCGTATTGCCTCAGTGCCGTCCCGCTGAGCAGCGAGTGCATCACCCGTCGTTTCTCCGTCCATTGCGCCGGTGGTAGAATGAGCGATCGGCCATGTCGACTGACGATTCCGCTGGCAATGGGCATTGGTGAGCGCCCGTTTGTCAGCGACCCTCGTTTGGCGATTATTTCCGAAACCACCCGGTTTGTGTTGAGGAGTATCAACGTTTTGCTGCCTAGGTGGACGGTGGTCATCTCGCCGTATTGCGCTAGGGAAGATATCTATCTCGTCAGTTTCCGGCATGTACTTATACCTAGAAGAGGACGTACCCGTTCATGGTCATGAAGCGTCGCTTTCAGATCCAGCAAACTGCCAAATAATGGTACCCCGCGAGGACCGGGGGGCAGATTGTACTTTTTTCCTCCCGATCCGCGTCGCTTTCCGACTGGTTTGAAAATTTCTTGGATGATGAGGAATGTGATGGTGAGGCATGCTGTGAGGGTGCAGATGGTCGTGAGGATTGGATTGGTGCTTGCTATTTGGATGAGTTCGTCGCGTACGAGAGTCATTGTGCTGATTTGTTTACGTTTGATGTGGTTGCCATGTTGTGTTGGCTATATAGGGCTGACTCCGGAGTGGTTCCGGGGGTGTGTACACAGTCGGGATAGACCCGGTGGGTGAATTCATCGCCACATTCAAATTGCAAAAGGACATTATGAACAACAGTTTAAATTCTATATTTAATTGTTTTTGTTAGACCAACTCCTTCAACTGCCATCGTAACCTGTTATTTCCGTCTATCAAATCCTCGATAAACTTCGCCGCCTTGTCCAACATATGTCGTCTCGTATGCACTCCCTTTTTCATCCCAGGGACAAGCTTCCCTAATTCATCGAATCCCTCTCGGACAACATCTCGTCGCTTTTTCTCCATTTGACAATGGCAGATTTTCTGTCCAGGTCGTTGAATGCACCGTCTTTTATACCTGCCTTCAGAAGTATCTTTATCTTTATCTTCATCTTGATATTTATTGGACATAACACTCTGTAGAATGCGATGGTCGATATCAAAGCCCCCACCATATGACGCTATCTGCATCATATTCCGAATAGTTCGTTCTTCAGTCCAGCTTCCTAGGGGTGGTGAATAGCCGTGGTGGCAGAAGTTGGTGTCGGTGCCCCATTCCAGGCCTTGGTTTGCGGGTTCTGGTGGATGTTGTTGTTTTTCTTTGTTTTCTGGTTCGTAAGTAGCTATATCTTATTGGCTAGTTAGTTATCTACTAGTATATAAGAATGGAGTCGAGTGTTGATGTTGATGCTTACATCCGAATGGGAGGTCGATTTGATTCATGTGGATTCGGTGTGGATGTCGCTTAAGCTGGAGTTCATTTCCTTTGATTATATTCGCCTTCATCTTTTTGACAGGAACGGAATCATCCCATCTCTCTTCCCCCTCTCCGGGTTGGTTCCGAACATTCGGATAACCGGCTTCGTGGGATACGTCATGACATAAATAGTCAGCCTTGCTGGATGCAAGAGGTCAACTTCATTCAGTACTAATATTCACTGCTGAATATGCTGTTCAAACATCTCATCTCCCCTTCGCTGTCCCTCGGTGCCCATCTTGGCAATATGAGTGACCACGCAGCAGACTGGATTCAGGACAAGGCTTTTGGCTGGCCTGACCAGCCGGCCGTCAATAAGATCGATACACACCATCATTTTGTTCCGCAGTTCTACAGTGCAGGTATATCTCCTTCGAGGCTTGTTTACGAGGACTAGCTAATTCGTTATCAGCGGTTGAACAGGCTGGTGGTAAGTCTTCTATACATCGCAAACATCCCAAGCTCATCAATTTCCAGGAGATCCAAGTGGTTGGCCAACTCCAAGTTGGTCTCCTCTTAGCACTGAACTCATCATGAACCGACTCGGTGTTCAAACTGCCATTCTTTCTATTACTGCTCCTGGAGCTTGTATTCTGAAAGGACAGGCTTCATTCGACTTAGCCCGCAAGATGAACGAATACGCCGCAGAACTGCGTGATAAAAATCCTCAAAAGTTTGGCTTCTTTGCCTCTCTACCCAGTCTGTTGGATACCGACGCCGCTCTTGCAGAACTCAACTACGCCATGGACACTCTTCATGCAGACGGCGTCGTTCTCTTCACCCGCTATGGCGATAACAACACCTACCTAGGCCATGAAGCCATCGAGCCTATCTGGGCAGAGCTGAATCGGCGAAAGACCGTTGTTTTCGTGCATCCCACTCATCCTGTAGACACAAACAAGGTGAATTCGCGACTGCCCCAGCCGTCGATCGACTATCCACACGAAACCACCCGGACAGCCATGGACATGATCACATCCAGAACCAGAGCGAAATACCCAGACTGCAAAGTCATCTTGTCCCACGCAGGAGGCACATTGCCCTACATCATCAGCCGGTCGGTGATCCCTCTCAGCAAGACCCCGGATATCGCTGCGTCTCGCAGAATGGGAACCACGCATGACGAGGCTGTCGCTGCTTTCCGTAGCTTCCATTATGATCTGGCATTGTCCGCCTCTCCTCAGGTGCTCGATCTGCTTCTCAAAGTTGTTCCTCACGATCAGATCCTATACGGGGTTAGTCTTTCGCCTAAAGTTTGTTATTCCTTGCTAATACATACCAGAGTGACTTTCCATATGCCCCTCCGCCGGCGTATCCGGCGTTTTTGGAGTCCCTTGAGAAGTACGACATGGATCAGAATCTGAGAAATAAGATCAACTTTGGGAACGCTCGAAAGTTGTTTCCAAGGCTTGCACAGGGCAAGTAGTTGTTAGCATCAGTCATATAGTCCTAGCATTACGCAATATAATCATCGTATTGTTTTATTCTTTCGATAAGAATATTGCCAGGTTGTCGTAAGGAAAGTAGAGTCTGAACCGAGGAAAATCTCGGGTCTGTGCCGGGGTCACGTGGTGCTTCCCTATCTGGAAGGTCTGCTCCAACTTCACGACAACAACCAGAGCAACAGAGTCAGAAGTCCTCCTCAAAGACTCAATCCCTCAGTCTATCTGATGCCACCAAGAACGAGCGGTATAAGAAAGCCAGGGTCTCGTCGCAAGATTGCGCTGGCATGCGAACCCTGCAGGGAAAAAAAGGTTCGCTGCGATGGGAAGAAGCCAATCTGTGGGCCTTGCGAACGACGCTCCTACACCATCGAGCGCTGCGTTTTCAAGGCTGAGAATGCTAGATCTGCAAGCAATGATGAGTAGGTACATTATTCCTAGATCTTAAGGACTAATCTGATGGTTGGTCTCTGTAGGTATCTTGGTGTTCTTCACAAGCGCATTCGAGATCTGGAAGAGTTATGCAGCAAAGGAGGAATTGTCGTGCCACCTGCCGCGTCTCAAGATCCCATTGAAGTCGAGAGGTCCACGGGGGCTCCATCCTTTGGAATACCTGCAGAAGACACACGATTGGAATCTTCCGAGCCTGAAGAACCCGTGCTAGATTCAGCGCCAACACCAGGTATCGCTCAGCCTGAGCCAGAAGATGCTGCTTCTTCTATACTGCCAAATCTAGAACAAACCAACAATATTCCTGCAGGGCCTCGGGAGTTGATACGACCAAGAGAAGAGATATATCGTGCAGTGCCAAGCATCTCACATACCAGCGGTCTACAAGACTGTCGCATAACGCAAACATATAATGACAGCGTATACACCTCTTCTCCTCTTGATCCCAGAAGTAATGTCACTGCTATGGGGGCGATATCAGTAGCCGACGATACTGAAGGAGCTTCTCCGCGACAACAATACTACGGTAGCTCGTCAGTCGCCTCGTTCATGCGTCTTGCCAAGGATTCAATGCCCGTACGGTCTTATATGCAATCTATAACGCGTCACGAAAGCCTTTCTGAAACAGCCCAAGCATCGAATCCCCATGATACCAGTGCGATGCTGCGGGGACTCTATAAACCTTCCCCACGTTTCCAGTTCGACGACTTCTCATTGCCACCACGACCTTTGGCGGATCATTTACTAGATTGCTATTGGGAAAGAGTTCATTGTCTATACCCCTTCTTTCATCGGCCCAGCTTTGAACAAGCATATGAAAATCTCTGGGGATCCAGCAAACAGCCCCAACACAAATTGTGTGAATTGAATATTGGATTGGGGGGTATCTTCGACACAAAGCCAAACTCCATCATTATGCACTGTGCATTGAACGCCATGTTCGCGTTGGGATGCCATTTCTCTGATATCCCCCCTACAGAACGAGAGGCGGCATCTTATTCTTTTTTCCTTCGCTCGAAAAACTTTGTCGGTCTTGATCTTCTTGAATATGGCACTATTGGAGTGGTTCAAACATTATTGGTCCTCGCGCTCCTTCTACAGAGTACCCCATATCCGGCTAGATGCTGGAATGCAATTGGCCTAGCCTGCAGGGTGGCTCAGGGCCTTGGTTTGCATGAGGAAACGACAGGGCAAGAGTCAATCAAGCCTTTGGAGCGGGAGGTCCGGAGACGTACATGGAATGGATGCGTGTTGATGGACATGTAAGCTCCTTTGATTTTTTTTTTTCTTATCCCACTTATTTTATACTAACACCGCACAGGATTGTTAGCATGACATACGGTAGACCAAGCATGATCTCCCACCTCTCGCCGGTACCACCACCGACATCTGTTAGTTCTTGTCAATCAAATGACCCATGTACCGTGTCTGGACAGGAATGCGATCATAAGCTTGATCGTATGGCGTACTTTGTTTCGGCCATCGAACTATACCGGATATTAGACTGGATTCTATCAGACATATATAATGCATGGCGTACTCGAACATGCAAACACGCCTGTCAAAGTTGCGACAATACTAAAAAGGGCGGCCTGGATGTTATAATAGAAATTGACAACACGCTGTCATTGTACGAGTCTAATCTTCCTTCATTCTTGAATTGGACTGGTCAGCAACCTCTAAAATCCGTGGACGGCCCTAATGCTTCAATATTCGAACGCCAAAGAAATGTCCTCCATGCAAGGCAAGAACTAATCTCCATATTTTATGACAAAACTAACTCAAATAGATTTATCCATCTCCGTCTCCTCCTCTACCGCCCCATGTTTACCCAGTTGTGCTCAGAGAAAGTTGGAAATGCGCGTCGCTCTGGCCAATCCGTTCATGGAAAAGATGAAACTTCGATCCTTCTAGAGAAGAATATACTATACGCTTCAGCATCGGTAAATTGCGCCGCTGTCTGTGTTATGGCAGTGGTAGATTTGATATCACTTGTCTACAGTACCTATCAAACCTCGGCCACGGATGCTTGGTGGTACAACGGATTCTGTATGAACCTTTTCCAGCCCTTTCGAAATCTCAGCTGCTGATCTTATCAGATACATCTACGGCTGGTTTCGTTCTCATTATGTCTTATCCATGCCGATCCATTCTCAATTTACCTAATCCTGGAGTCGTCGAAGAATCCTGGCGCAAATGTGAACAGATCCTCTCCTACATGTCTTCTTTTAGCATCTCCGCACGAAGTACACTTCATTTTCTTCAGGCGACACATCACCAAATTGTCCAGCACTACTCTGGTTTGTTTACTCCCGAACTCTCCCATCTTCCGTTCTTGCGCCACCTACATGTTTGGCTAAAATATCTCTTTTTCCTAGGTTCGAATCAATCCTCCAATTCATTCGCTGCTGGAACGGCAAATGCGCACCAAGATCGATCACGACCTGCAACCCAACATGGTTATTCCGGTGAACCTTACGGCGCGGACACACCCAGACAATCTGACATACCAGGCCCATCTAACAATGCGTTTATGTCGTGGGACGAAATGGGATATGGTCCTGATGAATTTGGCTTCCTAGGGAGGTTCGACATGCCGGATATCACCAGCTGGTTTTCGGATATGCCGGGCTGAAGTATGGCTGTTCCTCTCTTATATATATGCTGTTTATTCATCTCCCGGTCCAATGTCATATTACATGATCTGGGCATCTCAGTCCTCCAAGTTGAAGAATCCTATCGAAGTCAATCCGCATCGAGGTCAGCTACAAAACCGGACCTATGTTTACGCCATTCACATAGTCGCGTCATGTCCAAAAGTGGCATAAATTCCTAAGTTCTCGCTGGATTACAAAACGGATTTTGTTATTGGATGACACGGACGAGTGATACATCTATTGAATGCAAATTTCAAATTTTATATTAAATTCAAATAAATCAACATTACCTGCTAGCATGCTTTCGAAAATATTTAACCATGTGCTAAAGAAACTTGTTGTCTATTTCTTCATCAACAAATGACGAAATCAGCCAGTCAGTAATAGCCTGTGTTGTCATACTGGGTGGTCGTCCAGCAGAAAAGTCCATCAACGGCCCATCATGTGCTTCGTCAGGAGCAATATACGACGATAACTCAACACCATTCATTTGCATGACATCGATAAATTGAAGGATATGGTCTCGAAAGATCTCCTCCTGTCCTCCAGTTACCATAATCTGGTCAACCACATTCTCGATACCATTCCACCACTTATCTGGCACGTCAAGTGCCATCCCCCAGCCTTTTCCCTGTCGAATCTCTTCTTTCCAGGGTGAATTATCAGTGAGAAGTCGCCCCCAGTCACGAACTGTTTTGCGCGACAGGACATCGGCGCTACATCTTTCACGGTATGAACGGGTCGTCAAGTCAAGCGAGAGTAGGGGTGATATCACAGCACATCCTCTCAATCGACCATCGAGATGAATATGAGAACTTGCTCCGGATGAATCGGAGCGAGGGTGGAGTAAATGAGATAGAAGGGACAGGCATAGATGACCTCCTGCAGAGTCCCCGGCAATGACTATCTGTTTTTTCGAAAAGATCAATTTGAAACATCTCGTCTCTGTTGTTGAGAAGCCCTTACATCGCCCGGTTCATATCCGATTTCCAGCAAATGCTGCAAGGCCATGGTCGCTTGGGCCAGTTGTCGGGGGTATGGGCTATCTGGAACCAAAGCTGCATGTCAACGTCAGCAGATCGTCACATACGAAAAGCAAGATCAAGGTGTATAACAATATTCAAGAAGACATATACTGAGATCCACACCGGAATCGATCGCTTTCTTTCTGAAATAGGCCATCCATTCCAAATGCCCTGTCGATAACGGCATCACATAGCCGCCTCCTAATCATTCTTTCGTGAGTGTTTGCGAGTTGAAAAAAAACAGTGTCAATCTCACCATGGAAGAACAGAACAACTTTGCGACTATATCTTTCGCCGAGCCATAGCAGATGTGTATGTTTGTCGTCAAGCATATGCGCTTCATGAGTTATCCCGAACTGCGAGCCCTTTGAGGAAAGCCAAGACCGATAGGCCTCCAATGTTGGGGGCAGAATAGCTTGCAGCTGACGTGGTCTAATATGGGTCATGAGAGACCGCGCAAAGGCATTTCTGATGGACGCTCTTATAGAAAGACGTTGAAGCCATGCCCGAATTACTGCTCCGATGATGTTGTGGATGGATATGGGAGGTACAACAAAGCAGAAAGTGAAAAGCAGATGCGCTTTTTGTGCCAATGAAAGGCTGCGTGCCATTTCTGTCGGTGGCTTCGGTGAGAAACTAGCCTATCAATATCAATCATGTTGATAGATTAATCATATTGACGTGGCAAGGCTCTATATTTTTGTAGAGTTTCAGTGGGCTCCTCGTCAGGTTTCAGTCTTTCTCCAATCTCTCGGTGTCGACTTTCTCAGTTATGATTCGGAAGCCTCCGATGGGGCTGTGCCGCTGTGGTGATTTCGACCAGGCTTGACCATAGAATCCCTGCAAGTTTGAGTGTGGATACTTTTTTGGGTTAGTGCTTATCCTCCTCCGGGTTGGACCCGGCCTCCGCCACAGTGTCTACAAGATAAAAGGATGACGCAACAAGCCATTTGGCCTCATTTTAAATTATTGAGACATACATGGACAAAATGGCTGAAAACATGAAAACAAATCAAACATCATCCATTCCGACATACAGTCAGGTAGCATGTGTTGGTGCCGGGCTATCTGCCATAGCCCTCGGAGCTACATTGAAGCGATGGTACCAGTTTGATGACATACGGTTTTTCGATAGACATTCTGATGGCGGTGGAACATGGTCCATCAACTCCTATCCAGGCATGATCCGATATCTGCATCTGAAATCAATCATCTAATAGAAATCAGGATGCGCCTGCGATGTTCCAAGCGTCCTCTATAGCTTCTCGTTTGCGCTGAATGCAAGCTGGACCAAGCTCATGCCGTCGTACAAGGAGATCAGCAAGTACCATCAGGGCGTTATGGACGAGTACAACCTGCGTGACAAAATGACCCTTTCAACAGAAGTGTATAGATGCGTCTGGCGTGAGGATGCATCTAGATGGCTTATATTCTTACGAGACGTCAATACTGGCCGTGAATTCACCCACGAGTGCCAGATCCTCTTTGCTGCCTCTGGTGGACTTGTAGAGCCTCAACCCTGTGATATCCCAGGTGCCGATACATTCAATGGGTCAATCTTTCATTCTGCAAGATGGAACCATGATGTATCTTTAGAAGGGAAGAATGTGGCAGTCATTGGCAATGGGTGTACGTTTCCTCTATTAACAAGCGAACCCACTTGTCCATTAACGTATTTGACCAGGTACGGCAACACAGATCGTCCCAGCCATTGTCAACCGCGTCAAGTCTCTCACGCAATTTATTCGGTCACAACATTGGGTCTTTCCCTCGGCAAACATAGCCTACCCTTCATGGTTGCAGTGGACCTTTCGCAATATTCCATTGACTATGCGATTGCACCGTTTCCAAGTATTTTTGATGGCAGAGAATGACTTTCGCCTCTTTCCCATGACAAAGGCTGCAGCCAAGTTGCGGCAGGCAAGAAGGGAGACGGTGGATATGTACATGCGAGAGACTGCTCCAGCTAAGTACCACGATATTCTGATTCCTGACTTTGAGGTTGGGTGCAAGGTGCGTATAGACCAAATATTTGGATTGCATAAGCAATTTCTAATCCGTTCATCAGCGGCGAGTCTTTGACGCCGGGTATCTCGAGTCTCTGCACAAAGAAAATCTCCTTCTCACCGATTCCAAGATCGAAGAGATCGTTCCAGAAGGTATCAAAACCGCCAACGGGATTATTCCGACCGACGTCATCGTCCTGGCTACCGGTTTCCAAACAAACAAATACCTGTGGTATATGGAAGTCGAGGGCCGTGACGGAAAGACCGTGCACGAGCACTGGTCCAAGTATGGAGGTCCAGAGGCATATAATACCTCTGTGATGAATGGATTTCCTAACTTTTTCCTTTTACTTGGGCCGAATTCGGTGACGGGGCATACATCTGCTCTCATGGCGGCGGAAAAGTAAGTTGACTATCGTTGCTCCCCTCTTTACTGGAAGTCATTCTAATGATGGAAGCTCTGTCAACTACGCTCTGCGGATATTGAAGCCTGTTCTTGATGGAAATGCGACTTCGGTGGAAATCAAGGAGAAGGCAGAGGATGACTACGCACAGAAGGTTCAGGAAGCACTTCGAAATTGCGTTTGGCATGCAGGTTGTAAAACTGTAAGTATTTTCCTCTTATTTGCATTATATATGCTAACCAGATCTAGTGGTATGTCAATGATAAAAGGTGGAATTCCATGGCCTATCCATGGACACAGGGCCATTTTTGGTATAGAAGTCTGTTTCCTGTCTGGTCAGACTGGAACATAAAGGTACGTCAATACACTTGAATATTGCTTCAGCGCTAATATATGTGAACAGAAGTCTCGAAAGAATAGTCGGTCGAAGAAGACAATCGGATTACTGGCGTTGATGTTGCTGGGCAATGTATATCTGGCTAAACTTGGGAGTTCTTTCTTTGGCAATTTGCTTGTGAATTTATTTGACCGGGTTAGAGGATATACCATGGGAAACTGAGGAACATCTATGATGGCGTTTATGGAATAATGTCTATGGTTTATATCAGTACAAAGCATCATACTAAAACACCAACCACTATACAGCATCTACCATAAGTAACTAAACACTAAATACACTCATGAAGCAATCTTCCCTGTCTTCGAATCAACCGTTTGCCTCCCCCGAAAATCAACCCTCAACTTCTGTGACTCACCCCGTATCCCCATCTGAACCCATTCCGGCGCACCTCGCTATCTTCATTAGCCAATATCAAACAAAACAATGTACGAATACTCACAATCCCCGCCAAAAACCTCATTATACCAGGTAAGTAGATCGTCCGTGCATATCCACTATACAGCGTATCCACAATCGCATCCCCGACTGTATCAACATGCATCAAGGGCGTCAAAAAGCGGGCTTGGTTCGTTTCGCCTTTGAAGAGGGGCGTTTTGATGAAACTCAACACAGCGAGGGAGGTTCGCACTCGGGGGGTTTTGTGGGTGTGTTTTAGTTCTAGTCCGAGGGACTTTCATTCAGTCTGTCAGCATCTATTTGCTTGTTTATGGTGGTGGTAGATGCGATGTACCTCGTGGGATGCGATCAATCCTGCCTTGGAAGCGGCGTAATCGGCTACTCCCGCGGGAGGGATATACGCGCTCATCGAGGAGATGGTAAAGATATGTCCGTGGTCGTGTTTGATCATGTCTGGGAGGAATTCTTTCGTCAGGAGGAACGGGGCGAGGAGGTTCGTGCGGAGGGTGATGCTGTTGTCGTGGTAGGATCCTTGGCTGATGGGCTGTCCTCGACAGAGTCCGGCGTTGTTGACTATAGTTATTAGTCTTTTATTCATATAACAGATTGAGGGTGTATACTCAGAACAGTAGGATTCCCTACTTCCCTCCGAATCCGATCAGAGATATTCTTGACTTCGATTTCATCGCTTAGATCGCATTTATAATAGACGATTTTCATGCCCGCTGCGCCAGTTAGCCTTCTTTCTTTTCATAGTATATATAGCTTCATCTAATAACACACCAATATCATACGTCAACGGAACAACATCAACAACAACAACCCTCACCCCCTCCCTTCCCAATCGACACGCAACACTCGCCCCAATACCCCCCGCACCACCCGTCACAACGACAATCTCCTTTTCTCCGCCCCAGCAATCCGAAACCCAGTTATTGCGGCTCCAGAAGGTGAGGCTATCGTTGGCTAACAGGATCAGGCCGAGTATGGTAGCCCATTTTGCTGGTTCGGAGAGGCTTGTTAGCGGGGATGATGGGTTGCTCTGTGTGTAGAGCCAGAGGAGAAGGCCTGGGATGGGGTTTAGGAGGGTTTTGCGGAGGATTTGGGCGAGGGGGTCGATGTAGAGGCCTTCGCGGGGGAGATTGAGATATTTTGGCATTGTTTTTGAGTGTTTTGGGCAGATATTGGTTTATGCAGATATTATGCTGTTATAGTCTGGTTTTACTATAAATCTCTCGGAACAGTTCCAGATACGACACCGGAACACACCCGATCGATATAACTGGTAATCCATAGACCATCTAAGCGTGAGTCTGTCTAGTGTATTGAAAATTCTATGATGAATAGCATTATTATATGGGTATGTACAAACTCTACACCATGATGTCAGAGGTCTAAGTAAACAGTAAAGCAAAGCATTAGACAGTCGTCCCCGGAAGATAGGTCTTAAGATCCTTAGCCAGCCTCTGGATCTGGCCACCATAAAATAGCTATAAAACAATGTCAGAAGTGAATTGACAAGGTACAAGGACAAAACTTACAGAATCTGCACCTGCTCCAAGTACTTTGAGAGGCAGTTTTTTGAGTATCCATGGAAGCTCGACCTTGTCTAGGGTAATGCTAGCTTCCTTTTCCGATACGCTCTCGTCCAGGAGTAATTGAGAGAAATTAGGGCTGACAGCTGCGGGTCGACCGATGCCCACAATGTCGCATGCATTCTGCTTGATGGCTGACTCGGCACCAGTACGGGAACGAATGCCTCCTGTCAGCATGAGGACGAGGTCAGGGTGTCGCTTGCGAGTCTCGGTTGCGAATTCAATGAAGAAGGCTTCGCGGGCGGCTGTTCGTTCGCTTTGCGGGCGTTGGTTGCTGCCGAAGCCCATCATCTAAACTGGTCAGTTCCATCTCCTTTGGTGTATTCGGTTGAGGATATTACCTTTGGGTCCTCGATATTTCCTCCACTGATTTCGAGAAAGTCAATTCCCGCCTCGACAATCAGTCGAATCTGAGTCATCGTGTCCTCAAAGCTTGCAGAGCTATGGTCTGCAGAGTTGAGTTTGATACCAATGGCAAAGTTAGACGGGACAACTTTTCGGGTCTGTGCGATGATATCCAGGACAAATTTCGCTCGCTTCTCTGGAGAGCCACCATATGCATCTGTGCGGAGGTTGGTCTATACCCACAAGTTAGATCACACCTCTATCTGCGAAACAAGAATTATCCAGGGCCGGGGCGTACCTTGGGGTTCAGGAATTGATCGATCAAATACCCGTGCGCTCCATGAAGCTCGATCCCCGAAAATCCACTATCAGCCATAAGACGAGCAGTGTCGACAAACGAACGAGTAGCGGAGTCGATATCAGCCTGTGTCATCTCCCTCGCGGCAGGAAACAAGGCCCAAGCCGCCAATCGGTCCAAAAGTCCATTACCAAGGCTCATTCGAATCGGACTGGGAGCAATCGTACTCGCAAACAAGCCTCTCCGCCCCGCACCGCGCGGCGATTGTCGACCAGGGTGGCAAATCTGGACGATACCAACTGAACCGTGTTGCTGGGTTGCTTCGGCGTATTTGCTCCATGTCGCGACCAAGTCCGGGTTCGCTTCCTTTCCGGTGTATTCGCCGTGTAAGGCGGGGTCGCGAGGACTCCCAAGATGGTTGACGTCTACCTGGACGTTTCCTGGTTCTTATATTAGTGGACTCCTCGTGCCTGGGTTGATGCTGATTCCTGCGGACCTGTGAGAATTGCTCCCCATTCTCCTCGGCTCCATTGCTCGTAGACATGGATGAGTTCGGGTGCTGGTTTATGTTCGCTACCACCCAACATCTCAGCCATTGCTGCCTATAAAATGTCAGGTGTTAATTCATAAAATGCAATGATAAAGTTATTCACCTTGGCCACGCGGTTGGGTAGAACTACTCCGCTGGGGAGTTTGACGGGCTCGGATAGAACCGACGACATATTAACGGTAGGGAGTATAACGAAAAAATAACAATTGATAATTATGAAGCATTTTGCTGTTGTACCAGCTGGATGGCTGTACTATATACCTTCCAAAAAGTAGATTATCAATCCTCGCTAATCGCTCTATCCACTTCTGGGTGTTTCTGTTTGTATGAAAAAAATTTCGGATGAGGTTCGCCCGAGACGGATGTGGAACTTCCGGTCCGTGCCTTTCAAGCTCACATGCAATCCGACGGGCCGATGGTCTCCTTGAACCGAATGCAATGCAATCAGTAAGATGAATCAGTGAGAAATAAGGATTGGGTTTGAGACTGACTCGGGAGTGGTGGGTGTAGTGTTCAGAATGCAGACAGATTGGTAAGCAATGTTGGCTGCAAGGCTGCGAGAAATGGCGAATCAAGATGCAGTAGTGTTGATCAGGTCGAATAAACTCAGCATGTACCGCTATATCTAGTGCAGCTTGCGAGATTAGCGGAGAGATTCATGCTTCAATTCCCCCGGTTTTATGGGTCCATCAGCAGTGCGGAGAAAATTGTGACTGGTGGAGTGGCTGAGACGATCGAGTCGGAGATATGAATCTGTCCGTTGGCCGTTGGTGCTTGGCGGTTTAAAGCCACATGGTTGTCTTTCCGATCAGACGGTTATTTTTATGTTTGATCTGTTTCAGAAGTACAGTGGGAATACCAAAATTCTCTAAATCAGTTATATTCAGTAGTGATTCACGGTCAACCGTTAAATCAACTTTTTATATAACCAAAATCCAAATCACCAACCAATATACTGTAACGGCTAATTCCAAGAGAGAAAAAAAAAAAAAGAAAAAAAAAGAAAAGAAAATCAAAACCGACAGCAGAATGACATCATTAAGCGGTATGAACCCGAAAGAGAATGGGGTATACAAGAGAACAAGAGCACATATTTCAATGCGATGAAATCAAGAAACAAAGAAAAGCGCTCCAAATCAGAATCAAAATAGTCTGGACATGCCAGCATGAGAAGAATGGGGACTGAAATGCATGGGATGTTCGTGGATGACACTGAGCAGAGTGTGCAGGCCCAGCTTCATAATGACAGGTTGAAAAGGGATGAAAGCGTTTACAACTTAGCATTCTTCTCATCCTCGTTCTGGAGGCTCGACAGGGCCAGCGAGGTGGGGCCCAGGCTGGACAGCAGGGCACCAACTTCCCGCTCCAAGGCCAGGACCTCGGTGTGGGGATCATACATGCGGGCTCTGATCCAGGCATCGAGGGCCTCGTCACTCATGTTACGCAGAGCGGTCTCACGGTCGACCTCATCCTCCTGCGCAGCACGGATGACCTTGCGGGCCACCACGACGGAGACCTGGCGAATGCGGGTCAAGTCGGGGTAGAGGAGACCCTGGTCGATCTCCTCGGCGGTGAGAGCTTGCGAAAGAGCAGCACCCGAGGCGTAGATCATGCTGTCGGTGACCCGGACAGACTTGGACAGGATAGTGCCCATGCCAATACCGGGGAAGACGTACATGTTGTTACCCTGGCCGGGGTAGTAGGTGCGGGTTTCTCCAGCCGAGTTGGTGAATGCGAGGGGCTGGAAGGGGGAACCAGAGGCAAAGAGGGCACGGCCATCAGTGTACTTGACAGCACTCTCAAAGTCACATTCGGACTTGGAAGAGGGGTTGGACAGAGGGAAGATAATGGGGGCAGTGTTCCAGTCGGCCATCTTGCGCAGGAGCTCAGGGGTGAAGACACCACCGATGGTGGACAAACCCATCAGGATGGTCGGCTTCACATGGTCGACGACATCCTCAAGGGTCTTGAACTGCGAGCCAGCGTTGTCGGTGCGGGCAAAGTAGACCTTGTGGTCAGCGAGTCTATCACCACGGTCGGCGGTGACAAGACCCTTGGTGTCGACGAGGTAGAAGCAAGAGCGGGCCTCATCCTCGGTCATGCCCTCGCGCATGAAAAACTCGACAATCTGACGGGCAACGCCCACACCGGCACTTCCCGCGCCAAAGAAAACGGCGCGGTGCTCCTTGCAGGGAAGTCCGGAACGCTTCACCGCATTGATGACACCGCCGAGGATGACAGCGCCAGTACCCTGGATATCATCGTTGAAGCAGGTGTAGACATCACGATACCGCTCCAGAGCGGGGAAGGGGTTCTTGAAATCTTCGAATTGAATAACAATACTGAATTGCGACCGGTGGCGTTAGCACCCGTTATTGTGGGAATGTGCGGGGAGTGGATGGGTCACTTACCCAGGCCAGCGCTCGGTGAGAGCAGCCATCAACTCATCCATAAACTCACGCTCTTGGTCTGGGGTAACCTTATCGCGGCGACTACCCATGTACAACGGGTCTTCCCGGAGAGTCTTGTTGCTAGTTCCCAGATCCAGCGTGAGAGGCAAAGTAGCCTCGGGACGAATTCCCGCGCATGCAGTGTACAACGCCAACTTGCCAATGGGAATACCCATGCCGTTAATGCCAAGGTCACCCAAACCGAGAATTCGGGAGCCATCGGTGATACATGTGATCTCGACATTGGGCTGGGGCCAGTTGGCGATGACGGCGGCCAGATTGCCGCGATCTTCCCAGCTGAGGTACATTCCTGACCGGGGGCGGTTAGCGCGCCGGCTCTAATTAGGTGCAGGGGTTGAAGCTTACCTTCGGGCTGCTGGTAGATCTCCGACCATCTCTGGCATGCTTCACCCACAACCGGGGTGTAAATCAAGGGTGTCAATTCCTGTGGGCGGGTTAGCATACCATGTGACACAGCAGGGTGGCGAGTTAACCGACCTTGAGGTGGTCTGAGACCAAACGGTAGAACAAGTGAACATTGTTTTTGCGGAGGGTGCTGAGGTAGAGGAATTTGTCGATCGGGGTGCTCTTGAGAGCCAATTGAGCCAAGCCTACGGGCTATTAGTCTATAGTATATAGTATTTCTTGAGGCGATTGCCTACATCGAGTCTTCTGGACTTCATAGGATTCCGCGCGGGGAGGAGTCAATCCATAGGTGCGAAGGTATTTGCGGATGTACGCAGGGTTGGCAGTATCATAATTCGATTCGCTAGAAGACATGGTGATAATATTAGCGAATTGAAGAGACAATATTAAACTGAAGAGAAAATTTTTTTTTCAAAAGGAAATGAGGAAAACATGACACTTACACAGGAGCAGGGTGGCTAACATACGGGGTCGCGTGGACCGGCCGGCTTTGTTGCGCGGGAAATCGAGCCATGGTGGAAGATTTGGGCGAAGCGAAATTAGATTTGCATCGAATGCCAGCGACGAGCGAGGGAGAAGCAGAATAAGAAGGAGAAGATGAGGCAAGGAAACGTCGAGATGGAGAGGCAGCTGCGAGCAGCCTGTTTTTATGCATGCGCACTAACATTGGAGACCCCTGACTTTGCGCGCGAGAAGAACAAATCCACAGCATGTCTCTGTTCCGAAGGGACAAGGACCAAGAATTCCGTTGTGATCTTCCCAATAATAACGATGAGAGGAGGCCTCGCGGAAGTCTTTGATGAATCAGGGCCGTGTTGACGATGACTCCCTGGGGCTGGAATCGGGAGGATTCGGGCACCAGAAGGTCCAGTTAGGAAAGTCGGGATCCTAGCGGTGGATATCGGAGCATGGCAACGAACCGTTTCGACCGAATTGCAGGCAGTATGACTGGATACGAAGCTTCATGGGGGGCACCAGAGTGGAGGAAGGGAGGCACTTTGGGTAGCTGGTGGAGTCGAGAACCGTCTCCAAATGCGACAAATGCGGAGAATCAGAAATACAGTGAGAAAATAGCAGGAAAAAGGCTAAGCGATGGGGTACAATATGAGGCATAAAAGTGCATTTTTGTTGAGCTGGGCTTGCAGGCAAAAAAATTTAATTATTATTTTATTATTATGATGATTATGATTTCAGGGGCGCGAAAAAAGCATGCATGATCGGAGAATTTGAGCCTGTCACAGGGCGCAGAGCAATACAATTAATTCAGTAGTGGCCAGGCGTACGAATAGAAAATGTGCTGACAAGACTCAAATGTACCCGGTAGTCTGTATACTATCAGAAAGCTGTTAGAAATGGAATTCTGGCCCGTTAGTAAATGGACTAGAATCCTGGGACACTTCGGGTGTACTTTTCACACATCGGCATCTGGGTCTCAAGGCATCCCGACCGATAGAGTGGAGTTTGCTAGACAGACTGAATAACTGATAAGTAACAGTATATCCATCAGCTCCATCAACCTCAGGATGTCGAGATATTATTGTCCCAACAGGAGCAGCTTAGCACCGCTGGTGGAGCAATGTCATGTGGCAGAATCAGCCTAAAATCCAGCTTCCTAGTGACGAGTCTGATTACTTGCCGTCTTGGGTTAGTGGGCCTTATCTCCGTCTATCTAGAATCTTTCTCTTTCTTCTACTTTTCTTCCTTCTCCGCACACAAACCGGCCGGACCGGCACCGGAAGCTGGCCGAGCTTATATTTGGTCATCACTTTGTCTCCAGTGTGTAATAGTATCTATATGGATTGTGTATGCTATGGACTGCTATGAGTCAGAATACGGAAAGTATAGAGTAGACGGACAGGATGCATTCTACAGTACAGAGCCAATGTACAGTTACACAATGACCATCACCTGCATATGATTACATAGTACACACGAGTCCAAGACACTGAACTATTATTAATGAGTGATTTTTCGCTACATTGTCTCCAAATTATTGCCCCAATTGGGCTCCGCCGATCCCGTCGGAACCAGCGTTTGGGGGGAAACTAGAAAAAAAAAAATACCGTTTCAGCCTTGGAATCTGACGACGCGAATCGGGTCCATTAATAATGATATGGAATTCGATGAGTTGATCTGCAGCAGCTAAAAACATCATATTAATCACAAATTCGCCTTCAGTGTGTCATTCATTCGGCGCTCCTTACTTGTTTCTCATAAAGCAACGGAGTTCGGCTGCCTTGCCTATTCCAGCAGCCGGACCGCCTTCTCTCACGGAGTGTTCCGGATGGAAAGAAGACTGAATGCTGATAGTCACTAATGGATATCAAATTGATTATTATTCCAGAATCCAGACGCAGAACTAATAGTGCCTTTCCCTTTCTGGAATTGCTTTCCTCTGACGATGAAGACTCCATAATTACCCGATCCTCACACTAGCGGTTTACCGCCTGGAGACAGCTCTCCCCAGATTCCGACTTGCATCGATCGAAGCTTGACTCTTGCTGATCCTTCCCTCTTGCTGTTTAGTGATCTAATTCTATTACAATATTGCATTGCGTGCATGTCGAGACCCAATATTTTTTTTAATATTTATTAATTCTTTAGGACACCACTGCAACATCTACTTCAATTGTTGTGGCTGTTTCCTCGAATTGGTTTCTTGGTCATACCGCACCGATTGGCTGTCGTCATCATGCCGTACAGCTTGCAGAAAACAGGATGGAATGGGCAGCCTCACTTCCCTCCCACTTCTCCTCCTTTCCCCCCTTTTTTTCCTCATCACTGACGTGCAATCATCTATTTTCGCATCGGACAAAGGGTAGATACATCCAAACTTTGAGCTGTCTCGCCTCATCCCTCTTTTCAACCGCTTTTTCCGTGTCTGACAAGTGACGACATCGTCTGTCGGATCACCATGCCGCAAGGAGAGACGGAGCCCCTCCTCCCTCGCTATGAGCACGACACGGTTCTCCAACGTCGTCTACATCAGAAATTGCATACCTATCAGATGCTACGGGCCCTCTCAGAGGGTTACATGCCATCCACCGACCAAGTCATCTCCAATCTACGCACCTTGCTGGCCTCGGATGTTCTGAACCAACGCAACCAAGACTATGGCACCGTGTCTCGCCAACTCGTTCGAGACACTCGCGCTTTGATACAGGCGTCCATTGACTTTCTGCGGGAAAAGAACAGTGACGACAAGTTGCAGGAATTCCTGTGGCATCTCTCCCTTTCCACTACATCGGTAGACACCTCCCGTGTCTCCCAACAAGCCTCCCTGGCGAAGTCCAGGGCGGATACTAGAGCTGGTACCCAACCCCCCTCGATTCAATTGAGGTTGTAAGCCCATGAAAATAACTGCTGATACGCGTCCCCAGCCTATGATAGTCTTCGCACCGTTGGGAGCCTGTTCCTCTCCAATGCCGACTTCCGTCTCTTCGTCGATGATCTGACCACAGTCGGCCGTCAGATATTCTCCGACACCGCCTTTTCTCTGTCTACTACTGCTCAGCAGGCCGGTGAACAGCTCAAACCATCAGAGGGTGAGGTCGAAGCCCTCCAGGGTGCTGGAGCGGACAGGGATCGTTCTGCATCAAACGAGGATCTTCACCGAGAGGCATCTGAAGTTGCTGGAATTGCGGGAAGTGGAGTTGCTCGCACCAGTCGAGATGCCATCGATAGTGCCAAGGGACATCTTTCGGGGAAGGAAAGGGAGACTTTGTTCTACCGGTTGAAACAAGCCGTCCTGAACCTTAAAGAACGTTCAGATTATTCGAATGCCGTCGAAACAATATCGCAATTGATCCAGCGCTATGCAAAAATCTATGCCCACATAGGTGACGGAATTACCGCAGAGGCAGAAGAAGCCGTCGACACAGATGGAGACCTCAAACAAGCGGTGCAGCAATTCTGGGCCCTGCTCCAATCTCTTGGAGATGCCGAGGAGTGGAAGAAGCTGGAACAGAAATTCCACGAAGTCTTGACCCATGCGGATAAAGACCCCGAGTTTGAAAAACTGGCATCGGAAATCGGTGCCTCGGTCCAAGAGATGCTCACCAATCCCGAATCTCTCGATTCCGCTTCAGAGAAAGTCGATAAACTCAAAGAAAAGTCCAAGCAAGTGGGCGCCGAGTCTAATCTACGTCAGGATGTGGATGACTTTCTGGCACAGGCCAAACGGGCATTGCAAACGGTGTCTGAAGATGCTGCAGTGTCTAACCTGACCAATGCCACCGAGAAACTCTACAATGATTTGGTGAGCGGATTCTCTAACCGAAGGAGTGACCTCGTCTCGGAAATGACGAACATTTTCCTTCCTACCCTTCTTCGTAATATCCAGTACGTGCCCATTCCACGTTTGGAAATCTCGGCACCAAAGATGGATCTACTGCTGGAAACCCTGATCCTCGAACCTGGACACACGGTCAATTTCTCGTCATTTTTACCATACCAGATGCACATCACAACGAAAAATGACATTGATGTTCTGAAAAAGCATTCCAAAAGAGTCGCAACGGATATCAAGACTACTTTCACAGCCACGATCTTTGGACTAAATGTCAGTTCCGAAGAGTTCGGATATTGGATCCGAACCCAAGCGGGTCCCTTTTTCCGCTTCACAGACGAGGGAACTGCCAGCTTCTACCTCGATCGTCGGGGAATTGACATCTCCTTAGACGTAGAGGTGGGTCGACAGAATTTGGAACAGGTCTTTTCGCTTCGCGGCGTCCGCGTCCGCATCCACAAGCTCAACTATAAAATCCATCGTAGCAAGTGGCGGTTCCTCTTGTGGCTGACCAAGCCTTTCCTGAAACATCGACTTCGCCGCGTGTTGGAAAAACACATTGCAGAGAATATCGTCCGTGCTGCGCATGTGTTGAATCGGGAACTAGTGTTTGCCCGGGAGCGCCTTCGCGCTGCACGCATTGCTAATCCCCAGGATCTGGCAAGTTTCGTGCGTGCCATTCTGGCTCGCATGCAGCCTTTCCAGGACAGCGATGTCGAGGCAGGTATTGGAGAGAATGTGGCGGGTCATGGCGTCTTCAAGGGTGTCTATACCCCCGGGAGTATCGTCAAAGTATGGCACGAAGAGGCCACGCGCGCGGAAGAAGCAATTGAAGAGGGTGATGAGAGTCACGGATTGCGCAAGACTTGGCGTAATGATATTTTTGATATCGTGGGGGTTCGAAGATAATAATCTGATGGGATATGGGATGATCGTTACGACTAATTATGGGGTTTAATGGGCACGACTAGGCAGTAATGATTTTATTTATATCCGTAAGGGCTCCCAATTATTTCGATTTCAACCAATCAATTCAATGAGACATGATGGTTGTCTTGGATCTTCCAAATTGTTCTTATCTCCGATCACTGTAGGTCACGTGTGTCGGAGCAACCATTATCCTCTCCGTTGGGGCCACCTAATCGACAGCTACTCCGATATTGTTATTTTGTTATCTGAAGTCCAACTCTTTTCACTTTACACTCTTTTTCCAATTCCTCAGTTACGGTCGAGGGTCTAGTGATTCGAGCCCATCCAAACACCCCCCGAATCGACCTCGCCAATCCCTCAACGAGAGGGGAAAAGCTCCCGCTTCCTTTTCCGCCTATACATACAAACCTGAGTATACGGCAAAATCGACACAACGAATGGGTTGTCACCCATTCGATTAACGAGGTTCCTTTTTCAACGGGCGCATGAGCTGCAGACGCAGCTTGCATTGATTGCGCAACGACACGATGCTTTACATTCGCCTTTTCTTTGCCATTGCGTTGGTTTTGTTGCCGTTGGTGTTGGCGGCGGAAGATTACTATAAGGTGTTGGGGCTGGATAAATCTGCGTCGGAGAAGGATGTCAAGCGGGCGTATCGGAATTTGAGCAAGAAGTTTCATCCTGATAAGAATCCGTGAGTTTCTTCGTCGCATGTTTCTAATGTTCCGGGGAGGTATGGAAACGCTAATGCATTGGCTGTTTTAGAGGTGATGATGCCGCTCGGGATAGGTTCGTCGAGATAGCCGATGCTTACGATGTCCTATCTACGCCTACAACTCGCAAAATCTACGACCAGTACGGCCACGATGGAATTGAACAACACCGACAGGGAGGACAGGCCGGACGACCCGCCAACGATCCGTTTGATTTGTTTTCGCGCTTCTTCGGCGGTGGAGGACACTTTGGTCATGCCCCGGGTCATCGACGAGGACCGGATATGGAGATGCGCGTTGGGGTTCCCTTGCGCGACTTCTACACAGGTCGGGACATCCAGTTCGTGCTTGAGAAACAGCAGATCTGTGATACGTGCGAAGGAACGGGATCCGCGGACCGTGAGGTGGTTACCTGTAACCAGTGCGGAGGACGCGGAATGGTGATCAGGAAGCACATGCTGGCGCCGGGCATGTTCCAGCAGGTCCAAATGGCGTGTGACAAGTGCGGAGGACAAGGGAAGCAGATCAAGAAGCCGTGTCCCGTGTGTCATGGGCAACGTGTGGTACGCAAGGATGTCGATACCTTCGCAACCATCGAACCGGGTATGGACAAGGGCACGCGCATTGTATTCGAGAACGAAGCCGACGAGAACCCGGACTGGATTGCGGGCGATCTGGTCCTTGTTCTGGAGGAGAAGGAACCCGAGATTGCCGAATCGGAGGAACAACGCACAGATGGCACATTCTTCCGTCGTAAGGGACGGGATTTGTTCTGGAAGGAGGCTCTCTCGCTGCGCGAGGCGTGGATGGGCGAGTGGACACGCAACGTCACCCATCTCGACGGACATGTTGTCCAACTAAGCCGAAAGCGCGGGCAGGTCGTCCAGCCCTTGTCCGTGGAGACAGTCAAGGGTGAGGGCATGCCGTTCTGGTCCGAGAACCCCGTCCATGGTCATGAAGAGAACCAGGAACCCGGTAATCTCTACGTCGAATACACCGTTGTGCTGCCCGATCAGATGGAAAGTGGTATGGAGAAGGATTTCTTCGCTTTGTGGGAGAAGTGGAGGAAGAAGAACGGTGTTGATCTGGGCAAGGATAGCGGCCGACCTATGCCTTCGTCGGTACCAGTCAAGGATGAGTTGTGATGATAATCTAAGTGAATTATTGCCTTGACACTTGGACTAGACTATATTTGCCTGTCCGAGGGCCATGCAAGGTTGTGACCACGCAATAAGATTGTATAAATAGTGATTCATAGAGAGCTTATGTGATACCTTTGAAGACTGCATTTTGCGACGAACTCATGGTGCCTGCCTACTTTAACGGCCGAAAAAGATAAGTATCTGAATTAACGAAATCGCACAAAAAAAAAAGGCGTCGTCTTGAATTCCAAATTTCACGTAGTAATCGAAACGGACTGCGATTCAAAATTGAACTACTTTGTCTACTTGCAAATGTTGTGTTAGTTTTGCTCTGGTTTTGCCAATATATATTTTGACCTCATGGAGTCATAAATCATCCACAACATTTACAAACGATACCTCCCAACTTTTATCTTACAGCTATCTATCAATACATTACAATAAAAAACATATCAAATCAAACCAAGAAGCAAATGTAAAAAACGCAACCCCATCACACATATCACCTACATGAGACGTGACGAGCAAAAAAAAAGAAAAAGAAAAAAGAGATAACAAACTGGCGCCGCCCGGAATCGAACCGGGGCTGGCACGGCCACAACGTGACGTCATACCACTAGACCACGGCACCTTTTTCTTGTTGAAAGCAAACAATATCTTTTGAATTATAAGGCTATCATATTTGATGCTGGCTGTGGGAAGGCATGGGTAGTTAGTTGGGTTCTGCCTGGACGATATGGCAACGTATTTAGCGATGAGCATATTATGTATATCAAGTGCTTAGATATTATATAGAACATGCTATTTCTATGATAATCCTGTCATTTGCAATATGTATACCTTCTCCATGGTAACAGTAAATTAAAAGACCCCTGTCGATGACAGTCAACGGTCGCTGGGCGAACATGTTTGTCACATTTGCAACAGAAAACTTCGGCAGAACCTCACCGCCTCTTCTATCCATCTGAAATTTATCGCAGCTTCATCTTCACTTACGCCGGGTCCATATAAAGTTGAATTGCTTTATTTCACGCCACTACGGCATAATCACATCTAAATCGCCAATATGGTCCGTCAACTCAAGCACCACGAGAAGAAGTACGTCCATCCCATCCCAGTACCAATCTCCCTAAAGGGAAAAAAGAAGAATCTAACGAGTAAAAAAAACCAGACTTCTCCGCAAAGTCGACTTCCACACCTACAAATCCGACGGCGGCCACCGCGAGAATGAAATCCGCCAACGCTACCACCTCCAAGACCCCATGGACTACAAAAAGTACAACGCAATCTGCGGCTCCCTGCGCCAGCTCGCGCATAAACTCTCCCAGCTCGACCCGGAGACGGACCCCGTGCGCAAGAAGCACGAGAGCGAGATGCTGGAGAAGTTGTGGCGGATGGGGATCCTCAAACAGAGTCGGGAGCAAGGGGCGGGGTTGTCGAGGGTTGAGCGTGAGGTGACGGTTTCGGCGTTTTGTAGGAGGCGGTTGGCGGTTGTTATGGTGAGGAGTGGGATGGTGGAGACTATTAAGGCGGTTTGTCTCCCTGGGCTATACTCTACGTTTTTTTTTTTTTTTTTTCTTTTTTTTCTCTGGATGATGCTAATTTGGGTTATAGGCTGTCACGTTCATCGAGCAAGGCCATGTTCGTGTTGGAACCGAGGTTGTCAATGATCCTGCTTTCCTTGTGACTCGGAACATGGAGGACTTCATCACCTGGGTTGACAGCAGCAAGATCAAGCGCAATATCATGCGCTACCGGGAGAAGCTGGACGATTTCGATCTCATGTAGATTTGGTGGCTTTGGTTTGCTTGGTTTATACCCATTCATCCTTGATATATTATGCATGCATGGCGTTGGTTCTACTGGTCAAAAGTACTGTATCTATGTGACTTTTTATTTCGTCTTAGATGGGAGTCTGATATCTGATGATTTTAAGAATATAACATGACGAACACTATCTGTTTCTTGTTTTTCTGTATGGGTATCTCAAATCCAACAAACAATCCACCCAGGATTAGTAAAAATATACCAAAGGACAAATAGAAAACAAGAATAAAGGTGCAGCAGGCTGTGTGAAAAAAAGAAATCGAGCAGGATTCCGCTTCGTGTTTAATGCAATCCGATCGCGCTATAAAGCAATGCAGGCAGTCATATTATTCGGATTATCGTTCAGGGTCATGTAGCCGGTATTTCATGTCATCGGCAAAAGGTATCAAGGAAATAAGGATGCTGTATGTCATGTAGTGTGGATGCGGTCATTTCTAGACAGCCGGGGCCATCTTCTTTCGGTCTTTTCAGAGTTCTGTCTTCTGGGAGTCGTAAATTTGTTCCTGAGATCTGTTCCACGGCGTGACTGTGACTTGATGGGTTTTGTTTCTGTCTCATCAGGAAGATCCATTCGGAATCTTCTTACACTCCCCTCGTAATTTCCCTTGCCATTCTCTCCTTCTTCAAAGAATGGCGTTCGCTTGTCTCCAGGCCGACACCATCTAGGAGCCACTCGCCGCCAGAGGCCTCGAACACCACGACTAGCCCGGTCGATCTTTTCGTATTCTCGTCTCCGTGTCGACGGCGAGGTCCAGTCGATGACAGTAGCAGGTGTTTGTTTAGAGGATCCATCGCCAGCACCGCTAATGGTCTGAGAAGTCGGCTGTGGAGGGCTGTGACTCTCATCTTCACTAGAGTGCTCAAGCTGGTCGGAAAGCGGTCTCATGGGGGATCCTGGTGGTGAGCTAACTTCGGATGCGGAGCGATAGTCAGACATTGGGGGGAAATACGAATGCATCGCAGTGGAAGCGGGCGATGAAGGAGTGCGTATATCGGCATTGCGCCATTTTGTTGACTCGTTATCCTGGAATAAGCGACAGGATTCCCGATGCAAAGCCAAAAGTGTCTCCCGTTTCGTCTCTGGAGGATTTCGACTGGAAATGGAGGGGGTCAGAGAGGAGGTTGCGCGACGGTGGGAGTGTAGAGAACTGCGACGACTGGTCGGCCCAGAACGTCCTGTACTGCGCGAAGTGGAACGAGGGTTGCGAGGAGAGTGAGAGGTTGGCGTTGAAGGAGAGACAGTGCGCTTGCGCTTGGGAGTTCGAAGGCCATTTGAAGAAAGCGAAGCGGTTGTCGCTGTTGGAGCTTTCACGGTGACTAACGAGGCGGCATCCATCTCGACGGATGGCTCATCGAGAATCTCATCAGACACGGCGGGCGACACACATCCATTGACGGTGATTTCGGTGACTTCAAAAGCGCTGTAGAAGGTCTTTGTATCGGATAATTCGCTGACGCAGGGGGATATCGCACGAGAGGTCACATCGAGGGGGGGAAGATTAGGGTGGAGAGTGGACGCAAGGGCGGCTTGATCGAGATGGTGATGAGGATTCTGGCCGTGGAAAAGAGGGCGATCAGGATGGCATGTGAAGGAGGCGGCCATGCTCAAGTGAGTCGCGCCTGCATCAGGCGCAGGTGAAGAGCGGAAGATGTGCAGGGTCTGACTTGGATGTATATGTAGGGCGATCTGCACATGCCCCTCGGAGAGCAAACGACGCCTGATGGCAGCCAGGAGCAGGCAAGGAGGGGGAAGAGGATATTTTGGAATCGATCGTCGTCGGGGATTTTTCCCATCAGTAATGCAAACGTATCTTTGGCCAGTGACGATGGTTATACAGGCCAGAACGAGGCACGATAAGATTAGGGCTAAGAGGAAGCTAGAAAAAAAGATGGAGGGGAAGAGATGATCATTTAATTTTTCAGACTTTTCAGAGAGACGATCAACGTCTCGATCTGGACAAAGAATGGCTCATCTGACAAAGAAAGAATGGAGTTGACCAAGATGGCTGAAGAAAGAGAAGGACAGACAGTCTGGTGACCTCAGGAATCAAGAGCAGAGGATGAAGATAACCGGTTTATAAGAGGGAGCATCATGGCTTCACCGACTGGAGAGCGACGAACAACACAGTGAGCGGCAAAGTGTAAATAGCAGACGGGGGGTGGATAGTGAGCAGGAGTTAGCATCAATCCAGCAACGATTGACATGAATTGACGCTGGATAAATACGTCTACTGCTAGACACAGAGGGCTAGGAACTAGCACCCCGCACCTGAGGCATTTCTCTGTCCTACTCCATACTCTCCATGTTTCTGTCAGTATTATCAGTAGTGACCTGTCTGTCACTGCGTTCAGTTCTTTCCCCTGCATCCTCTCCAGGCACATGCCGGGGTTTTCCTCTGCATCCAAATTCTGCCTTCCAAGCAACGCAAGGAATTCCCGTCGTTTGCAATTTGCCCAATCGTTCGCCCCACCTGGTTTCATACACCGCCCCACCTGACCCCCCCTGCCGCGCTACGGAAGCCAATCCCCGGTCTCCATCTACCCACAACCCGCGCCCCGTGCATGGACCACGGCACTAGCTCCCCGCTGATCTACCCTGATTGGCTGCAGGGATTCACCGCCACTTGTTTTTGCTGCAAAGGCGGTCAAATCGGGGCACTTTTTTAGGTTTAGGGCTACTGGATGCAGAGTCTGGACTGTCTGCCATACAGACGCCGTTCTGTACATACACAAAGTGTCACTACCGCTGTATAGATACCCAAATGGCAGTTAAACGGCCCGTCTAATGACTCGGGCGAGTATTAAGCATGTCATGATTCATGAAGAATGAGCAATCAAAACAGGACGAATCAACCTGACATGTCGATTCGATATTGGCCGAGAGTTCTCCTTATCCCTGCCTATACCACGTTCATCAATCTCAATCAATAGTTCCGTCGTCATGATCTTCTTCGGTAGATCTACCCTTTCCCTACAAGGGCAAGACACCTGTTCTCGTTTCATCATCAGGCAACTGGCGAGACTTCTCCGAGCGGTTTCCGCGGAATTGATCATCGCCTTCATCTTCTCTCCATAATAGGGGTTCGTTTCTAGAATATTCACGGCTTCATTGCCGACATCACCGTCCGGACCCATCGAGATAGTAGTTCCAAGCCTGAGCTAGTCCGTTCTTTTGGGCGACACGACGCTGTATTGTTCCAGGCTGAATTGGTCCTAGCATTCCTGAGATACCATCCCTTGCTACTAGTGTTACTACTTTTAAAGTCGCTCTACTATGTACTACATAGTACAAAGATTCCTTCTACCTAGGTGTACTATGTATACCGGCGCTTACTGCTCAGAAATGTCGCATGCTAAATTTAGATGAGAACAAAGAGTTTCAAACAAAGGCATGTCTTGTGGTGGAATTGGCGCTGGTTGGCTCTATCCGCTGACACGGCGGTTATTCAAACGACATGGAGTGTCAACCATGAAAATGTCACTTCCGGTCATCTTGGTTGTTTCTATCAGTGCTAAGGATATCATGAATGATCCCGTGAATATTGACAAAAAATGCATGCCTGATTGACATTTGCCACTAGGCCGAAGAAAGGGGCATGGTCGGAGGACTGACGGAGAGGATCGCGTCATCAAGTGGTCGAGTATGGAATTGGTGTAATAGCTGCTGAACTAGTCGCCAGGGCTGAATCCAACAGTTGGTCTCAGAAGCCCACGGAGACCTTTGCCACGATTGACAATGTGAAGCACATTTGCTCCGTTACCGAGTTGGACTATCTGGTGTAGTTAGCGGTGTACGTGAGCATCTTGAGGGACAACAGTGCGAATACTCTGCCCAAGTACGTCGACACAAACGCTTATGAATAGACGTCTCGACCTATCTCAGCGCCTTATCCTTTATCCTGTATATCGTCCTGAAGAAGGGAACGAAAGAACGAACTGAATGCCGCTGGCAACCGTTTACCTGACATGCTGTAGAGCCCAGCCTCGGATAACTCGAAGAATCGACACTAGAGCAGAGATGCCACGGAAATGAATATCAAAGATCACGATATTTGTGTTCTTTCTCGCATCATCCCAAGTTATCTCGAACCCACTCTCATGTCTGTTATGGCCCCTTCATCTTCCCTATTGCGGATGACGTACAGATTCTCGTGCTGATTGCTGCCTTGTTTATGTACATCGTGGTGATATCATCGGTACAGTGCAGTGGAGCGTAGTGTGTGTGGATAGAGAGGGTGTCTGCGATGGCCAAATCAGACAAATCTTGAGGTATAAGGATCAAAGTATCGACAGTCGCATAGATAAAGCACTTACAGACTGCATAGCTCTCAGTAGCTGTCATTTGCTTGGTGTTGGGATGGATATCGTTGCAGTTCCTGTATGAACCACTCTCAGCTCCTCGCAAAGAGACTGGGGGATATATTAGCTTCATAGCGTGTCTTGCGTCTTCCAGTCCGAGAACAACATGCAGACAGTCCCATAGAGATTGTTAGTTGTGTGGTATGCGTCTCCATTTCATCCTGATGCTATTGACTCGTACTTTCCGTCCCAGCCAGATATAGCAGCCTCAGGCAGCCCAAGGTCCCCGGGAAGCCCGCATCATATTCGATTCCTCTGAACAGAGTCCTTGGATCAAAACACTTCAAACCATCTTATCTTTGAGCCTCCAAGCAGATCCTTCTAATAACATTTCCTACCACCGCAGCCCCACAACTCAGCCATGGACATAGTCGCTTTCGTACTGATGTCGTCAACCGCAAAAGACCATTTCATCGAGCAACTCGAGACAACACACCAAGACATGAGCGCCAGATTCCTGCAATATAAAACACAGACCAGAGAGAGCACGAGGGGAGAAAGGCTTCTCGAGGAAGAAAGGGCCCTGCTCCTAGACTTGGTGAAAGAGTACGATGCGCTGATTCTGCGGATACGTGTGGCGACGTTTTATCTGCGAATCGAACTCATCGTGACTCGGATTTATACACGGATCGCGCGAGCTTGTGTCTGGCTTTTGCTTCACGTGTTTGGATTGGTGGTGGGAATGAGGGCGTGTTTTTGGGCTTGCGCTGTCGGGCTTGAGTGTTTCTCGACGTGACAACTGTCTGCGAAGACTGGATCGACTTGCCATGACTCAATGTGATACGACATAATTCGAATGGAAAGTATTGGATGTGTTGCTGGAATGCTGCTTTCAGAGGGAGTGCGATGGGGCAAAATGAGAGAGGGATAGGGTGCTGTGTTGGGGGATAGTGGAACAAGCTGTCAAACTTGGAGACTTTTTAGGAGTGCTGGTCGATAGATGGACTGAAAGAGCATAATCTGTCTGTACGTAGCTGTATAATGGTAGCTATCAATTCGTAATATATCTACGATAAAAGAACGAGTTCTGCAGATTTGATCTGACCACCCACTTGCTACTACTTAATAGAAATGAATACACTACTAGATACCTAAACCACAAGAGCCTATAGCCATACAGATACTATAGAGGAATCGTCTGATCCTTATCGCCATATGATTCGTCTATAATATCGCAGACGCTCAGTAGTACTTCCGTCCGTACGAGAGCTCTCCTATTCTGACCGAAACCCTTCCAGACCAGGACGAGACCAGTAAACGAATACAGATAATCTAGAAGAATCTTAAAGAAGCTATATATGTCTACTTCTGATTATTTACTCTGTTTTCTTTTCTTTTCTTTTCTCTACCCCCCGGCCATGCGCCTCGAGAATAGGAGCGCTACGATATTTGTGCCTGAGGCAGAAACAGACCCGCCACTTCCTGTACAGCTTCCTACACGGTACGGACTGGGGCTGTCCTCGATCATTGCGATGCCATACTCTACAGGTAGGCAGAGACAGAAGCGACGGGTGTGTGATCATCTTGATGGAATTGATGCCTGGCGGGAGCGAGATGCTCGCCACCGAGAAACGAAAGGAAACTGTTTCGAGAAAATAAAATACACGCATAGCGAAATTGACCTACCTTAGGAATTGCAATTGTTCGTCAATGCTGGACATGCCGGTTATGCAGTATATACACTGCGTGTTTACAATATGTATACTCCATAGAATGCCAAATCCTGATTCGCTCAACTTTAAATAACCTTAATTTAGTTCATTTCCACCGTCTGCTCGAGATATAACAATCCGCCAACTTCCAGTTGTAGATACACATACCTATTGGATGTAGTATTTGGTTATTACGTGGGGCGTGATGGCTGGCGTATTTGAAAACACAGCACGTACGACTGCCTCCTACAGGCTGCTTCCTGTCCGCTGCGTGCCTTCCCTTTCCGCCGTGACGTCGATCTTCCTCCTTTTCTGCTGTTCTTCTGCTATTCAGCCTCAAAGCCACCGCGGGGAAACACTGGGGGATTATCTGACGGCGTCTGGGGATGGGATATGCATTTTGCTCATCGGCCATGTATCAATATCATGTCAGGTTAGTCAGTCCTCGATTTCTCTGGCGAAGTTGTCTAACGGTTGCTCTCAGTCTGCTGCAGCATCGCAGCTGCTCCACCACTTCTCTCCAGTAATACTCGATGATCACTCTCTTACGCTCTCCTCCGCGGTTCAGCCTATCCTCCCGCCGCATCTCAACAGCCCAGGCCATCAACGGCCTCAACTTCGAGAACGGCAGGCTCCAACGCCATCCCCCCCATTTGCGAATGACCTCACTCTCGCTTATTCCGTTGCTGCCTTCTTTTTGAGCTCCCAGTATAAATACCCCCTCGACTGCCCATCCCTCCGGGAGCTTTTCTTTCTTCCTACAACTCTCCGTCTTCCCTCTTTCTCTTCAGCTTTTCGACTGCTGGAGGGGACAGCACCACTCTGCTTCTTCTTCTTCTTATCAACGTTCGTTTCTTCTTCCTTTCATCCTTCTTCATCTTCTTATTTATTATTTTCTTCGTTTTCGTCTTTGTCTGCATCTTCCCTCTTCTGCATCGTCTTCATCAGCATCAGCATCAGTTGCATCTTCTTCTTCTGCATCTTCTTCTTCTGCATCTTCTTCTTCTGCATCTTCTTCTTCTGCATCTTCTTCTTCTGCATCTTCTTCTTCTGCAT